GTTCTAAGACAGGCTGGGTGACACGGGTCATGAGCCTTCCCCACGTCACACAACATCCTGACAGACCCTGGGTGTGTCCCCCCCCACCTCTAGCTCAGCAACCGGCTTTTTGAGGAACTTGCCATGGATGTGTATGATGAGGTGGATCGGAGAGAGAATGATGCTGGTGAGTGCAAGGAGCCCGTCCTTCAGCGAGCTGAGGAAGGAGCTGGGTTGGTGCTGCTCTGAGGCCTGCCACCCTCTGCTGAGCAGCGCTGGGCTGTAGGCCGGCTGCCTCCCTGCCCCACCAGGCACTGGAGCTCATCTCGCTCTGGCTGCCTCCCACTTTGGCTGTCTCCCCAGCCCTGCTCCACCCCACCCCCACCCCACATCACTCCTTCCTGGCCACAACCAGATTCCAGCCCAAACTCTGGGTCTGGCCTGGTGGGCCCTGCCTTGTTCTGTTCGTCAGTGGGCGGGCCTCACTGGGCCTTGCCCAGCTTTTGTGTTCGTGGAGACCCCTGCTTCCCGGAACACTGGCCCAGTGGGAATAGGGGGGCCTGGGGGAGGGGGGGGTTCTGCTCTGTGCTTCTCCACCTTACTGAAGGCCTAGTCACAGTGGGTGATCTGCTCCCTGCCCCTCCCCCACAGTGTGGCTGGCTACCCAAAACCACAGCACCCTGGTGACGGAGCGCAGCGCTGTGCCCTTCCTGCCAGTCAACCCAGAATACTCAGCTACTCGGAACCAGGTGAGGGGGGATAGGCAGGAGGCCTGGGTGGTTTCCTTTCTTTCTGGGAGCCCTCCCCTTCCTTAGTCGGAAGCCAGCTCTCCCGAGGCCTCCCTTGGGGTCTAACTGGCTTTGGGGTTCAGGGAATGGGATGAAGCTATTTCGCCCTGGTGGGTATTCCAGGCTTCTGGGGGCTCCTTGGGAACCTGAGGCTGCTACACTGCTCACTAGCCAGATGATGCCGGGTTTGGGGTTTGTTTTTTGCTGAGAATGGCTAGAATGGCAGGGCCCCACTTTGCTGCTCTGTCCCAGCCCCCCCCATCCCCATGGGCCAATTAGAAATGGCCCCTCAGGGCCGGGCACTCAGGAGGCAGAGGCAGGTGGATCTCTGAGTTCAAGGCCAGCCTGGTCTACAGATTGAGTTCCAGGACAGCCTCCAAAACAGAGAAACCCTGTCTCAAAAAAAAACAAAAAAAGAAATGGCCCCTCATGCTGGCCTTGCCCCTTCTGCCTTACAGGGACGACAGAAGTTGGCTCGGTTTAATGCCCGAGAGTTCGCCACCTTGATCATTGACATTCTCAGCGAGGCCAAACGGAGGCAGCAGGGCAAGAGCCTGGGCAGCCCCACAGGTGGGCCCTGCATGAGGGGTCTGGATAAACAGTGGCTGGGATCTGGATAAACAATGGCTGAGCAAGCCCTGAGTGACAGATCTTGTGTCTTCAGACAACCTCGAGCTGTCTGCACGGAGCCAAAGTGACCTGGACGACCAGCACGACTACGATAGTGTAGCTTCTGACGAAGACACGGACCAGGAGCCCTTGCCCAGCACAGGCGCCACTCGGAACAACCGTGCTAGGGTCTGAACACTAACCCTGCTGTAGACCCAGCTCCTTGTTATACATAGCCCTTAGTCAACCTCTGCCCGGGACTGACTGGATTCTGTCTCTGCAGAGCATGGACTCCTCAGACCTGTCCGATGGGGCTGTGACACTGCAGGAGTACCTGGAGCTGAAGAAGGCTCTGGCCACCTCCGAGGCCAAAGTGCAGCAGCTCATGAAGGTCAACAGCAGCCTGAGTGATGAGCTCCGGAGGCTGCAGAGGGAGGTGAGCACTACTGCTTGCGGGACGGGAGGAAAGCACCCAAGGCCCTGGGAGTAGGGTCATCCCTTCCCAAAGGCGGCGCCTGCCCTGACCCAGAGTTGGATGCCACTGTGTACACTCAGATCCACAAACTGCAGGCAGAGAACCTGCAGCTTCGGCAGCCGCCAGGGCCAGCACCCACACCCCCACTTCCCAGTGAACGGGCCGAGCATACACCCATGGGGCCCGGTGGAAGCACCCATCGCAGGGACCGCCAGGCCTTCTCCATGTATGAGCCGGGCTCTGCCATGAAGCCCTTTGGAGGTGCACCTGGGGACGAGCTCAGCACACGGCTCCAGCCTTTCCACAGCACTGTGAGTGGACTGTGGGTCTTGGGTGGGAAAATAAGGGCCACACATTAACACAGCTTGTCATGACGCTCTGTGCTACCCACCACAGGAGCTGGAAGATGATGCCATTTATTCGGTGCATGTCCCTGCTGGCCTTTATCGGGTAAGCAGGACCTGGGGGAGGAGGGTGAACCCTGCACCAGTGAGTCACTAGCCCCTGGTAGCTGAAAGTTGGGCTGGGACAGACGCTGGACGACAGGTGGAGAATGACTCTAGCCCTGCCTTGGCTTTCAGATCCGGAAAGGGGTGTCTGCCTCTTCTGTGCCCTTCACTCCCTCCTCCCCACTGCTGTCATGCTCCCAAGACGGAAGTCGCCATGCGGTAATTGTCATCCCAGTGCCCAGGGACAGCATGTGGGCTACATGGGGCGGGAGTGTACTCACCGCCACCTTTCCCTGTCCCCTCCAGAGCAAGCTCTCACGCCATGGCAGTGGTGCAGAAAGTGACTATGAAAACACACAGAGTGGGGACCCTCTGCTTGGGTGAGACACCTGTGGGGCTCCACCCCCACCCCCCAGCACCTGGAGGGAGGTGGTGTGGACTCAGCCGTGCAGGCGGCTGGAATGGCTCCTTGTCTCTTCCCACCTGGGCCTAGACTTGAAGGGAAGCGATTCCTAGAGCTGGGCAAGGAGGATGAGCTCCACCCTGAGCTGGAGAGCCTGGACGGAGACCTAGATCCCGGACTGCCCAGCACGGAGGATGTCATCCTGAAGACAGAGCAGGTCACCAAGAACATTCAGGAACTATTGCGGGCAGCCCAGGAGTTCAAACATGACAGGTAGGCTGGGCACAGGCTCCTTCCTGTTATCTTCTTGGTTCGTGTGTGGAGGGTCCGTGCTAGGATCCTGCCTGAGATTCTGAGAAACCCCTCATCCAACTCCTCCCTCCTCTCACAGCTTTGTGCCCTGTTCAGAGAAGATCCATTTGGCTGTGACTGAGATGGCCTCTCTCTTCCCAAAGGTACAGGCGCCACAGAGAAGCAGAGTGGGAGGACCTTGGGGTGGGGCAGACGCAGGTGACCTGGCTCCTGCCTGGGTGAGAGGGAGCACCCTGAGCCACAATCAGACGCCTGGCTTAAAGTCCAGGGCTCAGCCTTTCCTCCCCCTCCCTCCAGAGGCCGGCCCTAGAGCCTGTGCGTAGTTCACTGCGGCTGCTCAATGCCAGCGCCTACCGGCTGCAGAGTGAATGCCGGAAGACAGTGCCTCCAGAGCCTGGTGCCCCTGTGGACTTCCAGCTGCTGACTCAGCAGGTGATCCAATGCGCCTATGACATCGCCAAGGCTGCCAAGCAGCTGGTCACCATCACTACCCGAGAGAAGAAGCAGTGACCACTTCCCCTGCCCTTACCCACACCCTGGGACCTCACTGACCATGGGAGCTGGGCCACTCCAGACACTAACCCACCCCCAACAGAGCCACTGGCACAAGTGCCCTTAGTGCCGCCATTCTCCTCTGGTGTCCAGGTGCCCTGGTGCCTACCCTCTCAAACCCCATGGATGGGAATGTGAGGTGACGGGAGCTTCTGTTCCCCACATTCCATGCCCATCACCCTGTACATAGATAGCATCCCTACCCTTTTGATGTGCAGGAGCCTCAAGGAACCCCTCCCAGCCCCTCACCTTCCAGGGCACCCTCAGTAGAGTGGACAGGGACACTCCAAATGGGGCAGCTCCGCCTACTGCACCCTATCCCCATGAGCCAGTTTAGCCCTAGGGGGCTGAGCAGGGGCATCCCCCTCTTTGTACATTATCTCTGGGTGTCTCTGCCCTGTAGCCGCCAGCCCCTCCTGCTGCTCTTTCATGCCAAACGGCCCAACTTGTGTACCAGGGTCCCCAGCAGCAAACACTGGAAAGTCTTTCTTCTCCCCTAACCCTTAATTTTAACTTTGTGGTACCTGAGTGTCCCTGTGTGCCTGCGACTGCGGATGTGAGCGGCAGTGCCGTTCCAGAGACCTGGCCCACCTGGAGCTTTGAGGGGCAAGGGCCAGAGCAGTGGGACCAGCATTGGGGTCAGCGTCCCTCTCCCCTACCTGGACAGGGCGACAGTCAGGGTCACCAGCTGTGGTCCAGTCGCTGCTCCTACTTGTGCCCCTACACTATAAACAAAAGAAACCACTTCCCTCCATCTCTTCCCCATCCCCTATGGGAAGTGTGCTGACCAGGCAGAGTAAGGAGCTCCTGAGCCTGGGGCTGGCTCCCCAGGGTCCCCAACTCAGCTGGTGGCTGTGGAACTGAGCCCCTCCCTAACCTCTGCAAGGCCAGCACCCACATCACTACCTGCACCTACAGTGACCCACCCCACCCCCTGGAGGCCTGGGGCTCTGGCTACCGCTAGGAAGGCTGGCAAGGCACAGACAGCGCCCACCAGCTGTTCCTCCCAACCACCTTCCCCAGGTGGCCCGGCCCTGCCTGTGGTGGCGGGCAGCTGTCAAGACGTGTGTCATGTACATTTGTATCAAAAATAAATAAGTGACCATGTGCCACTTCTGATGTCTAGAGGCTGGAGGTGGGGCTGGGCCTGGCAGTCACGTTTGGGTCAGCATCCCTATCACTTACCATTGTCACATTCCTCCATCGGCAATCCTTGGGAGGCTGAGGCAGGATAACAAGTTCCAGCTGTCTTGAGCTACAGAAATTAGGGATGAAGACTTGAGTGTGTGTTGAGTGGGGAGTGCCAGCACCTGATGTTATCCTAATAGCCAGGGGATGCTGGCTGCCCGGGAGCCAGCTTCACTCTTTAACTCCCGAAGGCCGGTGGCCTGAAGGAGTATGCCCGAGGGCAGATACACTCACCCTACTCCGAATTCTACTAAAATAATTTAATTAGAAATAGGAATTTGCATCAGGGAGGCTTAAAAGGATACTCAAACCAAAAGAAGCCTCCAGGGCCTCTCCATCTGCCGCCAGGGGGCGCCCGCGCACGGCCCACGTGGCAGCAATCACAGAGGGGCGGAGCCGCTCAGTCCGAGCTCTCGGAGTCAGGGCCGCTATCCGGTGTGGGCGGGAGCAGGGGCCGTCTGCGAGACCTCTTGATCCGGCGCGAGGACAAAGGAAGTCTCCGTTTCAGCACAGCTGCGAGAAGGCGAAAGGGCAAGGAATTCAAGAGACTGAGCACACCTGGCGAGGGACTGGGGGTAGGGGGCCTTCTCACCAGCCACCGTGTCTTGACTGTCTGCTGTGGGCCCCCAGTAGATGCTCTCACTCCTGCGGAAGTTCCGGTGCAATCTCGTGCAGAGTGTGGCCAGGGTGAGCAAGACCAGCAGGAAGGTCAGGGCCATGGCAGCCCAAGCTGCCTCTTCAGTGCGTGGAGTTGGGCCTCGGGCCACCCGGGGAGGCGCTGCTGCTCGAGGAGCTGGGGAAGCCTGGCCTGGGCAGGCACAACCCTCTGGATTGTCTTGCCCACTGGGCTTCTGAGCCTCTGTCCTGGACCTAGCATTGCCTCCAGGTGCTCCAGTCATCAAGGAGACAGGGGCCACAGATGAGGTTCCCAAAATGGGCTGCTGGGCCTTCGGGCTCTGGGAAGAGGTCAAGGAAACCCTCAGGCCTGAGGGAGTAGATTGGAGACGAAGGGCAGCTCGGAGCCCTCTTCTCTTGGCAACACTGAGGGAGCCTCTAGATGTCACCTCTACACCAGGAGGCCGCCAGCTTCGCAGAGCAAAGGCCAGAGTCGGAGCCTAATGGGAAGAGAAGCGGAGTCACCTTCGGCCCTGCTCTGCTCGGCTCACCCTGTGCTGCCACCACCAAATCTGGGCTCAGCACCCCTCACCTCACCTGTACACACCGTCTCCCACACAGCTTCCCTCTGCTGGGGGCTGCCATCATGGGAACTGGCCCAGAAAGAGTGTCAGAGAGAAACCACACACTCTTTCTCTGCTGCCGCCGCCGCCGCCTCCTCTTCAACCAGTTGGCAACCCAGGCTGGCTCTACCCATGCCATCTCCAGTGCAGTCCCCCAAGCTGTCAGCACCAGGGGCTATGAAAGAAGGCAACTTAGATCTAAGATGAAAGAAGCAGCCCTGAGTTTTCCTTTCTCTGCCCAAGGAGCTGCAGCCTTCTGCAGGACATCTTTTTTTGGGGGGTGGGGGGGCATGTTGAGACAGGATTTCACTGTGTCCTGGAACTCTGTAGACCAGCAGGCATCGAACTCAAGAGATCTGCCTGCTTCTGCCTCCGAGTGCTGAGATTAAAGATGTGAGCCACCATGTCCAGCTTTTTTCTTCCCTTACATTTTTTCCTTTCTTTTTGTTTTTGGCACAACTTTCACGAACCACTTACCCGGTCCGAAGTGAGATTGGAGTCAGGAACCAGTGTGGGCTTGGCCACACACACATGGGCCAAGAGAGCAAGCTGGAGCTTCAGCCAGGGGTGGGCACAGGGGTGGTAGAGGAAGGCGACACCATCAAGCTGGAGAAAAAGGTGAGATGCTGAGTCAGGTCCAGCTCCCTCCCAGAGAACCCCGATTCCTCCTGTCCTAGGTGCCAGGGTGAAGGGTTCTCAGAAGGTGCCCTTCCTCTTGTGGGAGAGAAGGGTCTTGGGTACTGACGTACACTCCTTTTGAATTCACCTCCTCTTCCATCCAGTGCCACCCCTCAAAGCTGAGCTTCTGGGCAGGACAGCACAGCTAATTAGCCCTGTCAGACTCAGAGCAGGCTCCCTTGCCCCGCCCATGGCGCCGGGGATCAATACCAGGGTCTTATCACCACTCATCCAGTCTTTAGCTGGATTTCTCAGAGTGTGCAATAACGGCTCTACAAGACTCCCTGAGATGAAAGTCCTCTGTTGACCCAATCCATGCAATCTCCCAGGAGTATCCAAACACACAGGACTTCCCAATATCAGGATGGGAACATTTCATCAATCACTATTCTCACTAGATGCTATAAATGATATCCAAAAAGAACTCCTGGACCTTGAGGAATGTATAAGAAATGCAGCCAGGCAGTGGTGGTGTATACCTTTAATTCCAGTACTCAGGAAACAGAGGCAGACAGATACCTTTGAGTTTGAGGTCAGCCTGGTCTACAGAGGGAGTTCCAGGATGCCCTGGGCTACCACAGTGATCCCTGCCCCACACACACACACACCAAAAAAAAAAAAGAAAAAAGAAAACCTCATGGAAAGCTGGGTGTGACAGTGTATACCTGTAATCCTAGCCTTGTAGGGCATAATATAATGTAAGAAGATCACAAGTCTAAGGCCAGCCTAGGGTACTCAGGGAATACCAGGTCAGCTTAGGCTATGAGGCCCTTACCTCAAAAGGCCAGGCAGTAGAGGGATCAAAATTCAGGGAAGCAAAAAACCATACAACTCAAACTGGTGTGTACGGGAGGTGGGTAGTGGTGGGATTTCTGGGCTTTCCCATCAGGCCATGTCCTCAACTGTCTTTTCACCCTTTTTTCTTAAAATTTAAAACAATCTCACAAAGTTGCCCAAGTTGGACTTGAGTTTACTTGCAGTCCTCAGCCTCCCAAGTGGCTAGGATTATAAAAGCCTATGCCTCGGATTGGAGAGATGGCTCAGAGGTTAAGAGCACCGACTGTTCTTCCAGAGGTCCTGAGTTCAATTCCCAGCAACCACATGGTGGCTGACAACCATCCATAATGAGATCTGGTGCCCTCTGCTGGCCTGCAGGCATACATGAAGGCAGGATGTTGTAGTCATAATAAATAAATAAATCTTTTTAAAAAGTCTGTGCCACCAAGTCCACCTTGCTTAGTTAGCTGTGATCAGAGGGTGGGATGGAAACTGGACAGGTTTTAGGGGGCAGGTGGTGCTGTGACTCCTGCAGAGCTTTGAAAATGGCTGGAGCTGGATGGCTGCAGGGCGTGGAACTAGACCAGTAGGAAATAGACCAGGGGAAAGAAAGCAGGCATCTCAAGGGAAATGAGCCAGAGTCCTGTGTGTGAAGAGGGCCCACTGTGACCAAGACTAATCGAGAGGTCAGATGAAGATAATTTAACTGAGTACTAACAAGTCAAGCCGGGGAACTCAGCCATGACAGGTGGGCTATCCTCAGATGGTTTCTGTTTCTGTTTTTGTTAGTTTGTTTTGAGACAGGGTTTCTCTGTATTCCTTTGGAGGCTGTCCTGGAACTCGTTCTGTAGACCAGGCTGACCTCAAACTCACAGAGATCCGCCTGCCTCGGCCTCCCAAGTGCTGGGATTAAAGGCCTGTGCAACCAATACCTGGCGTCATATGGTTTCTGAGCAGTGAAATAATTTAAGAGGGATCCCATTCAAGAAAGACATAGCCAAGTTTGATAGTATGTTCGATGTAATCCCAGCCCTTTAGGAAGTAGAGGCAGGAGGATCAGGAGTTCAAGGTTATCCTTGGCTACACAGCAAGTTTGAGGCCCAGTTTGGGCAATGTGAGACCCTTTCTGAAAAAAAACAAAAAAAACAAAAGGGGGGAGGGGGATTAGAGATATGGCTGGGTGATTAAGAACATTTGCTGCTCTTGCAGAGGATTTGGGTTCGGTTCCCAGCATCCACATGGCAGTTCACAACCAACTGTAACTCCAGCTCCAGGGAATATGACAACTCTCCTGAACACACACACACAGAGGCAAAACTCATACCCATAAAATAAATAAACCTAAACAGTTTTAAAAAGAAATATTCATGAAAGTTGAACCCAGTTTACAACACAGTAAATCACTTCTAACCCAATACTGTTTCCTGATACAAAGTGCTGTTATACACATTCATTCACTTCTTAAAGCTGAAGGGGCAGAATGCCATCTCTTGCAGAAAACCAGAGCCTAGAAAAACTAGAGTTCTCAGTCACACCCGGTCCTGGGATGTGGGTTGTTTTTGCTACCTACAGAGTTCCACTTGTAGTAATCTGCCACACACTTAGCTACTCAACAGCATTCCTGACACTGCACTACGGAACTGTGGCTGTCTCTTGTCCACGGATGGGCAACTAGAAGCCTTCCCTTTTTCTGCACAAAGTGGTACGTGATGGAGCTGAGAGCCAAGGAAGACAGAGGTAACCTGCAAGGAGCATCCTGACTTCAGGGAAGGATACAGAGACGGGACCCTCGTTGTACGTACCTGCCCTCGTCCCACCTGCGTGTATGTCACTCTTGGTAACACCTACACATGGGGAAAGAAGAGAGCAGCTGGGGACTTCGTGGTGGGGGTGAAGAAGGGGACAACCTGCCCCAAGCCCTGGGCTGAGATGAAGACGCTGGAGACCGAGGACAGGAGGAACCAACAGATATCCCAACAGGGCGACCATCGAGGACGCGGCGAAGCCATTCATACCCCTCTCTTCCTCGGCCCTCCAGGATTCCTACCTGCGGAGGCAGAGGCCACAGGCCCTCGGGACAACCGGTTCCTGCCTCCTCCGCCGCCAGCTCAACCACCACCTGTGGGTCCAAGGCGCAGAGCTGGGCGTTGACCTCTGCGAGGGCCCCGCCCTTTCGGTTCCAGGACTGGGGGCGCAGACAAATGGAGGGGCCTCCGAATCGCCTCGCGCGCGCCACTCCTTACAGGACAAAGTTATAGCAAAGCGCTTTGAGATCCCCTGGCCAAGGCCTTACCAGGAGTCGGTCGCCTTACCTCGCAAAGACTCAGGAGCCCCACCAGGGCTACCAGAAGCAGCCGGGGCGGAGGTGAGGGAGGAGGAACCATTTCAGCTGGGCCAGCAATCCCGCCAAGCATCAGCCGCGCGGTTCGCGCGCCCCCGCAGTCCCGCGCCGCTCGCGCGCCCACGCAGACCGCGGCTCGTTCACAGTCCTGCCCCCTCCTGGCCGGGCCGCGTGCCCCGCCCCGCCCACCGCCAGGCCCGCCCCCGCCCCGCCCACCGCCAGGCCGGCGCACGCGTCCTGAGCCCAAAGCCGGAAAAGTTGTGATCCCCTAAGAAACCTTTATGTCCACGCCGGCGGGACCACCTCCCTCGCCCGAGGTGCGTCCGGGCGACTTTGCCCGCCAGCAGAGCTCAATTCCATCGCCTGGGTGGAATCTGGGAACCCGGCAAAGGATGGGGAGTGAGATCCTTAAGGACAGGGTGACCTAGGCGGAGACTTGTGTGCTCTTCTGGCAAATCCGCCAAGCACTCGGTGTGCCCTAAGGGCTAGAATTACGAAATCCTAGGGTCCCGGCTCTAGCGCTTCGCCTTCACACTGTCCTATTCCTACCCTCACTAATAATGAGTCCTGAGCACCGAGCTCTCTCCGGGCCCGGGGCTTCGGCCCCACTTACCTCAGGCCCAGGAGCCCCGGGAAACCGCATCTCCCCCGGTTACTGCTTTGTTCCCCCACTTCCTCCGGGTTCCCGCTCTCGTTCTTCGCCCAAGGGTGACCTAAGAGACTTTGGTTCGGGTGAGTTCGAGGAGCTACAGTGCTCAGCTGGGACTCCCTGCAACGGAGCGTTGCAATGGAAATAAGAACCCGGGTAAGGATTGAGACGCCCAGTACAAAAGTTGGAAATAGAGGCCTGCGAGATGGCTCAGTGGGTGATGGTGCGTGTCTCCAGCTTGACAACCGGAGGTCAGTCTCTGGACCACGTGGTGGAAGGAGAGACTCGATTCCCGCAGGTTGTCCTCTGCCACACACACACACACACACACACACACACACACACACACACACACACAATTAATCGTAATTTTTAAAAGTTTAATTTCAGAATATAGCGGCCGGGCGTTGGTGGCGCACGCCTTTAATACCAGCACTTGGGAGGCAGAGACAGGCGGATCTCTGTGAGTTCGAGGCAGGCCTGGTCTACAAGAGCTAGTTCCAGGACAGCCTCCAAAGCCATAGAGAAACCCTGTCTCGAAAAACCAAAAAAAAAAAAAAAAAAGTTCAGAATATAGCAAAAACCGTTAATGCAGGTGTCTCCCACGGACCCTGACTTAAAGGGGATCCTTGCTCACCCACCCTGGCATGAATGACCAGACGTTGATGTGACCGAAAGAACCACTATGTCCCTCTGCCATAGCCCCATAGCGGGGCTAGGCATCACTAATCCTCTCCCTCAACTTATTCTGCCAAACTTGAGGCTATTTCTTCTGCAATCCTTCCTGGTGAGCGGTGGTGACGCCAAGCTCCTGGAGAATGTGTCTTTGGAGGTAGACTGGGGAAGCCAGAAGTCACCCACATGCCCTCCAGAGAAGCGACAGCCTCCTCCCTGAAACCCGTGGTCCAGGTCAAATGCTGAGGTCGGCCTCTGGCCAGGTGCAGACATCCGACCTCCACCCCGCCCCCGCAGCTCCGTCGGGTTGTCACGCAGTTGCAGGTCCTGGCTAGGTCTATGTACGGCTCTGGCTGCAGATGCAGCTGCGCGTGGGAATAGTGAGGCCAGCGAGGGATCAGCGCTTTACTCCTTTCTTGCTTTTTGCTACCCATCAATAGCGGATCCCGAGGACGCAGCGACGGAGTCTCCCCTGGCAGCCAGACTTCATTTGCGGCAGGAGTAAGAGCAGGCACCTTATGCTCACTCAGGCCTCCAAGCCTCAGTCTCCCAAATCCTTTGCTGGCACTCCTCCTTATTCCCCTCTTCTAGTTCACCCGCACGTCCCGACTCCCCTTTTGTGGCCAGGATCTCTTTCACCCTCTGCTCCAGCTTGTCGCAATCGCTGTACAAAGGGCTGGGGGAGGGAGTGGGGGGCGGGCGAGGGGAGCTCTACCCGAACTGGCTGTCTCCGCCCGGCCGCGACCAATCCGGAGCGCGCGCGCCCTCCCGCTGGGGAGGACGCTGGGCAGCCGCGGGCCTCCGGGCGGGGCCGGGGGCAGAGCCCGGAGCCCGGGCTAGGGGACTGCTCCGCTCCCCGCCGCCCAGTGCCGCCCGCCAGAGACTGTCGTGCCAGGCCATGCCTCCGTGGACGGCCGTCCTCGCGCTGCTGCTGGCGGCGCTCGCCCTGCTCCTCCTGCGCCCCTGGAAGCGCGCCGTCGGAGCGCGGATCTCGCTCCGGGACCATGAGGAGCAGGACGTGGTTAACAGAGGCCCCTCGGAGCAGTTCAACGACCGGCGCGAACCGCTCCCCGGGGGCTGCAGTCTCATTTGCAAGCCCTCGGCGCTGGCCCAGTGCCTGCTCCGAGCCCTGCGACGCTCGGCGGCGCTGGAACCCGCCCGGAGCTCCTGGCTGTCGGGGCCCCACCTGCAGACCTTATGTCACTTCATCCTGCCCGTCGGACCGGGCCCTGATCTAGCCCGTGAGTACCTGCAACTGGCAGATGATGGGCTGGTGGCCCTGGACTGGGTCATAGGACCTTGTGCTAGAGGCCGCCGGGTCACTAATTCTGGAGGGCTCCCCCCGGTGCTGCTAGTAATCCCCAATGCGTGGGGACGGCTCACCCGCAATGTGCTGGGGCTCTGCCTGCTCGCCCTGGATCGCGGCTACTACCCCGTCATCTTCCACCGCCGCGGGCACCACGGCTGCCCGCTAGTCAGCCCCCGACTACAGCCTTTCGGGGACCCGTCCGATCTCAAGGAGGCGGTAACTTACATTCGCTTCCGACACCCGGCGGCCCCCTTGTTCGCGGTGAGCGAGGGCTCGGGGTCCGCGCTGCTGCTATCCTACTTGGGGGAGTGCGGCTCCTCCAGCTATGTGACCGGCGCTGCCTGCATCTCGCCGGTACTACGCTGTCGCGAGTGGTTCGAGGCTGGTTTGCCTTGGCTCTATGAGCGTGGGTTCCTACTGCACCAAAAAATCACTCTCAGCAGGTGGGTACCGGGAATAGAGATCTACAGCTCTGCCTGGTATGGAAACAACCCATGGGTAGATGGGGGCAAAGTTCTCACACGGTTTCCAAAGCTGTCCAAACCCTGTAATCGAGCTAGAACTAGGAAAGCGGGCTTCAAAGCGAAAGACAGCTTCATGGCCGCAGTCGGTATCATTCAACCACAGCAAGGCCTCCTGCCAGGGCCCCATCAGTCCATCTCCAGTCTCATGTGTCCTAGCAACCGGTGGTCAGCAGAGCCCTGCATCTGACATTTACCACTTAGTCCATAGCCAGATAGGTCGGCAAACAGAGCTCTGGAAGTAATTGCAGTCGATTATCTGTCCAGAGTGTTTGCTTTCAGACTCCAAGCCAGGAGGTGGCAGGAATGAGAAATGTAGCAGCATTTGATTTATTCAAATTCTTTCAACTGTCAGATGTTTTACATATTTCTAGGTGAATACACAACAATTAGTTATGTGCTCTTTTTGAGGCAAGGTCTCCTATAGCTGAAGGCTCCCTAAACTCCAGATCCTTCGTCTCCGCCTCCTAAATGCTGAGATTACAGGCATCAGGCACCACACAGCTACCAAAACAAACAAAAAACACTAAACTTCTAAATCTCCAAAAGTAGAACAATTTTAACACCAGGCAAAAGTGTTCCACAGAAAACACTTGAATGACATTTCCAGTCTTTCCTAAGAGGTGACAAATGAGGTTAGATCTTGCTGGCAACAAATAGAAAACCCAGGACAAGGAGTCAGGCCTGGCTGGGTTCAAATCCTGAACTTACAGAAAATTAGCTAGTCCCTTTCAGAACCACTTCTTTAGTTAAATGAACCTAATAATAACAACTCTGCAGGAGGTTGTGATTATTAAATACAACACAAGAATCTGACTGGCATCAGGTGGTGACAATTGGGACTTTTTTTTTTCTTTGCCATTTTACCTCCTATTTTGAAAAGGTCAAACCCTGAGACTGGATGAAAAGTGAGAGGCGCTGCTATGGCAACTCAGAGGTTTGGTACAAGGTGCTCTCATCTAGCTCAACTGCCATAGTTTCCACTCCAAGATGACCACCGCCAGTGTTTACCATAGGCACCAGCCAGAAGCTGGGTTAGGGAAACAAAGAGGAAACCTGTGTCTTTGGGAACCACCCTTCCCGTGGAAGTCTGGGGTTGAAAACTCAGGCATAAATCTAGATTCAACTGGCTGAGGCCAGACTAATCTGCCTAAAGGACTGAGCTGAGCTGCTACCCTGGCTTCCTTGGGAGCCTTCCAGGCCCTCTCCAGGGAGCTGAAACAGCAAAGGCCCCTCCTGTGACGAAGTAGTTTGCAGGCCTCTACTGGGGAAACGGTCTAGTGATTAATCATAACCCCAGCGGTTTTTTTCTGCCATCAAGCACTTGCTAGGTTCACTTGCCCCAGGTGTACCTGACCAATGTAACACCAGGCGTGTGTGTCAACATGAAAACATAGGTGTTAGGCAATAGTGGCCCGTGCCTTTAATCCCAGCACTCAGGAGACAGAGGCAGGCAGATCTCTGTGAGTTTGAGGCTAGCCTGGTCTACAGAGCAAGTTTTAGGACAGCCACGGCTACCCAGAGAAACCCTGTCTTAAAAAAAAACCCACAAAAGCAGTGAATGGAATAAAACAGTAGCTGTGTGGGAGAGGTGTCACCTCTGGCTTGGATGATCTGAAACAATGAGTTCTCTCAAGATGGACCCCAGAGGACACCGGTCATGAGTTCCTTAGAAAGGGCCAAAAGTCACAGTTACAGGGAGAGTTATCCCTGTAGGTCAACAGCTGTGAAGTCAAATGCTACCTCTAGGACAAATGACAAGGCTGGTGGCAGGCATGACAGAGATGGGATGGTCACCCCTATGGAGAAGTCAAACATTTGAAATCTTCGGATTTCAAATGATGGCCACAAGATGAAGGGGTTTGGGGGCTGGAGAGATGGCTCAGTGGTTAAGCACCACTGCTTTTAAAGAAGAACCTGTTTCAACTCCCGGCACCCACAAGGAGACTCACAACCATCTGTAACTCCAGTTCCAGGGGAGCCAGCACCTTTGCACAGGCACACGGTACACACAGACAAAACATTCATATGCAAAGTAAGTCTTTAAAAGGGGGTGTTGTTTGCTTGTGTGTGTGCATGTGTGTGTGACAGAGAGAGAAAAGGGAGGGGGGGAAAGGGGGGGAGAGAGAACGACTCACTGTTGCTGTTTGGAACTCAGAGATCCGCCAGGCCTTTGCCTATTGAGTGCTGGGATCAGAGACATGACCTGGGCCACCAGCCCTGTTCTTTTCTGTAGTTCAGAAGGCCTCATGGCCAGACTTTGGCCTGGGGACTGCGTCCATAGTAACTTTGCCTGCCATCTGATGTTCTGACTTTTCTCTCTCCCGCTCTCCCATTCACCACCTTTTGTGGTTAGGTATGCCTCCGCCCTGGAGGACACAGTAGACACCAGCAAGCTCTTCAGGAGTAGCTCCCTGCGAGAGTTTGAGGAGACCCTGTTCTGCCACACCAAGAGTTTCCCCATCAGCTGGGATACCTACTGGGACCTCAATGACCCACTCCGGGATGTGGATGAAGCTGCTGTACCTGTGCTGTGCATCTGCAGTGCTGATGACCCAGTGTGTGGACCCCCAGACCACACTCTGCCCACGGAACTCTTCCAAAGCAACCCTTACTTCTTCCTGCTGCTCAGTAACCATGGAGGCCACTGTGGCTTCCTGCGCCCTGAGCCCATGCCAGCATGGAGCCACGAGGTCATCTTGGAGTCCTTCAAGGCCCTGACTGAGTTCTTTCGAATGGAAGAGAGGATGAAAGGACTGAGCAGGCGCAGGACTTCATTTTTAGCGGGTCGGCGTCGCTGGGGAGGCCTGCAAAAACGAGAGGTCTCCCCCTCTTCCAATCTGGAGATCTTCAGTTGGAAGCGTTCTTACACCAGGTGAGGCTTGCCTGGCGAAGCCCCTGCGCCTTGGAGAAAGACCCCAACAAGGTACCCCAGGGGCTGGAAGTCTGAGGACTGAGCCGGGAGCTCTGCTCCCTTCTCTCTCACAACTGGCTATAGAGAACATTCAGCCTGAGCACACTACCTTGAGAACTGCCCGGCTCTGGCAAACACATTCCTGCTCACCCTGATCACTGTCTCCTGTCATCCAAGCCACAAGCCCAGCAACAGCACACGCTAAGCAGACTGGGGGAAAAAAAAGCTATCTGTCCTTGTTGTGACTCTAGGGAAGATAAGCTTATGCAAGTCAATGGGTGGCTCTGTCCCACATAAATAATCAGCTTGGTGACTCTGAGTCTCGAGCTGGAGTCACTTGGTACAGAAAGGACCGGATGTTTGTGTCTCAGTGCTCTGCGGTTGTGGTTCGGCTCTGAGTTCTGCTGCAGCAGCTGGGGAAGCAGGCTGTCAGAGTTATCTAGCTCTCCCCAGTCTGAGAAGGCAGCAGAGGCAGGACATTCTGGGCTGAGGCCAGCTTGGTAAAGCTGGCTGGCAAACTGTGATTCTGTCCCTGCCTCTCATGGTGGCTGGGAGCTTCAGGGCTAAGCTGCGGCTAGGCCACCCCCTCCAGCCTGGGCTGAGCCATCTCCCATGAGTATTTTCAGAACAGGAGGTGCTGTTGCCCAGGGTCTAAGGGTTCTGCTAGATCATGGTTGTGGTAGCCAGGTTAGGCCAGATGTGCACCCTTTGGGGGCTCCTCCAGAGAGCTGCAGCCAGATGTGTTCCTCTTGAGATGTGGGCTTTCTCACACCCAGAAACAAGAATAACCCTCATAACAGGGTTTTTGACCACTTTCCTTGTAGTACTAGCATTTCCCTTGCCAAAGCCAGGCGAGAGATCTGGGATCAGAGGAGAGAAAAGTCCCAAGAGCTGAGGAAGGCAATCCAGCTATTTATGAGTGTCTCACATTACCAGCTTTATCTGCTTAATTATTCAAAAGGCAGGAAAGCTGACTTCTGGGCCTGACCACTCAGCCTCTAAGTGAGTGTTTGGTTTTACGAGGAATGGTGCTGAAGACCAGAGGACAATAAGGTATAGCACACAGATTGACTTACATATCCTGGATTGTATTAAGCATTTAAAAATTATTTTGACAACTGGACATCGGGGTCCATGTGTTGTTAAGATTCAAAATTCACCCTGAAATTATGTATTTATTTGTGGTGCTTGGACCTTGATTGCTAGGCAAACACTCTACCACTGAGCTACATAGACTCAGCCCAGAAGTTAGCTTTTAGTTTTATCGATAGGGAAAAAAAGTCACCAGTTTTAGATTTAACTCAGCAAACCAATTTCAAAGAGCATTTTACAGCATAAGGCATCCTGGGCTACCCAGAGGCTGCAATCCCAGGTTTGGATCAGCCTGTCCTACCACTGTTCTTTTCCTGTTTGCTTTTCTTTTGTCTTCTGCCTGGCCTGGAACTCACTATATAGACCAGGCTGGTCTCCAATTCTGAGATCTGCCACTGGAATCAAAGGCAGGCGCTAACCCACAGTCTTATACTCTCGTTCTTCAGATTAAATAAGAAACTCTGAACTAACTCCAAGATATAATACAGACAACGTCTGATTTCCTAAGGCACATATCCTACTGTGGAAGGTTTTCTCCCATCGTCTCCACTCCCAGCCCCTCCCCCACAGCCCTCTTCTGGCATTCTGTCATCATTTCTGAGCAAAAGAAATAAAAAGGAACTGAACTCTAAAGAGGAAGTTTCCTGTGGCTGTCGAACCACAGTCATGGCGGAAGGCTTGGTGAAGGGAGAACTACTGGCATATGGCCACCTGCCCCTGCCCCCACATCTAGGACAGCAGGGACTTTGGTTAATTAGGGTCCTGCTGTTCCCATATGCATTGGATCCTCAGAAATAATGGGAAGATGGGAAGAGGCTCGGAGGCAGTTCAACCCTAAGGCTTAATGGTCCCTAATAGCAAAAAATCTGGGCAGTTTTTTTTAGGATAGCTACCACAGGACCCTGGCTCTTCAAGAGACCATTTGTTAGAAAGATAGTGGCCTTTTTCTTTTTCTTTTTTTAAGACAAGCAAGCTTGCTAGGGAGGGGAGTGTCATTTGCAGTAACTCTTTTCTTCTATTCTGTGGACCTGGTAGTTGAACCCAGAGCCTTGCACATACCAGGCAGCAGCGGACCTTTACCCTCTACCCTGACATAGGTTTTGGAACTCTCAGAGGAATGACAGAACAACTCTTGCTCAGGTTTTTTGAGTCCCAAGCCCCACTGATTTAACCCTAAAACATTTCCCCTTCATGCTCCTCATACAGGGTATTCTGAGGGAGCGATTCATTATTGTTATTTTTTGAGATGGCATCTCTCAATATACCATTGACTGACCTACAACTCACTATATATAGACCAGGCTGGCCCCAAACTCACTGCCTGCTTCTGCTTTCTGAGCTGGGATTAAAGGTGTGTAGCACCATGCCTAGCTTGCATAATTAAAACAACAACAAAAACCTGTCCATTTCTATTCAAAGACTAGGACGGTCGGCTGGAAATGTAGCTAGGTTGGCAGAGTGCTCACTTAGCATCTACAGGCCCTGGCCTCAATCCTCAGCACTGCATGAACCCATGTGATAGTTCACACTTGTAACCCCAGAGGGGAAAGCAGGAGCTTCAGAAGTTCATGGTTAGTCTTGAAGGAGCTTGAAGTCAGCATAGGCTACCTGAGACCCTGCCTCAAAACAACAAAACAGAAAAGCAAACAACACACACACACACACACACACACACACACTAGGCAAAGTGACTTCTGTTGAAGCAGGAAGGGTTTAGGTGACCCTGCCCCTCATGCTGATTGGGTCGTTTGGGTAGACACTAATCATGTGATACAGCTGGAAGAGAATCAGGCACATGCTTCTGAGAAAGTGTGGTTTTTTGAACACAACAACAAAACAAAAACACAGCCGGGCGTTGGTGGCGCACGCCTTTAATCCCAGCACTGGGGAGGCAGAGGCAGGCGGATCTCTGTGAGTTCGAGGCCAGCCTGGTCTACAGAGTGAGTTCCAGGACAGCCTCCAAAGCCACAGAGAAACCCTGTCTCAAAAAAAAAAACAAACAAACAAACAAAAAAAAAAAACTGAACAAGGGCTGGGCAGTGGTGGCCCTTTAATCCAAACACCTGGCAGGCAGAGGCAGGTGGGTCTCTGAGTTCCAGGCCAGCCAAAGTAGCAAAGAGAAGAGCACTTTCTGTTCTTTCAGGGAACCCAGGTTCCATTACCGGTGCTCACTGTCTGTAACTTCTGTTCCAGGGAATCTGATACCCTCTTCTGACTTCTTCAGGCACCAGGAATACAAACATACATGCAGGAAAAGTATCCACATACATAAAAAATTTTAAAAATAAGCAGACACTCTGTGTACTAAAATTATTTTTATTACAGTTGATCTTTTAAACATTTCCTTTGCTATGATACAAAGGATACTTACAAACAAAATATTACATATGACCTGTTTTCGTTCTTAAGGTTCTGACAACTTGTTAACAGCTTTAAATGCACAATCTATACAATTAATACAGGTTATATACGAACTATAAGGTATGCTGAACCAGAAGAATACTGACAATATACTGTACAATAAGCCTTACCAGTGAGTGCTGTGGACCATTTTGCCAACAGGAAAATGCACACCTGCAGTTACCTTTACCAGCTGGTGCTGACAGTGAGGGAGAGGCTTCTTCCTCATTGCAACCCTTGGTAAGCCTCCACTGTGGGCATCTGTCTAGTCTAAAATTGGAAAGGACTGATTTTACTAAAAATTACCCACTGTTAAAAGTGTTAGTATCCTGTATGATAATCTCCTGCCCTCCCCTGCCCCCAATCTATCCCAGTTTTAAAATGACCTTAAGTCCTTTGTCCACTATGAAAACCCTACAGGCTCAAGGGCTTTAGGAAAAGATGAAGGCTGCCAAAAAAGGAGGCAAGAAACCAAGCCAAAATCTAGGTCTTGCAAAATCATCATTTTCCCCTTCACCAAAGGGAACTAGAAATGTACAGATTCATTGACGAACCTCAATGACAACATCAGTTAGCTGATAACCCTCATTTATCAGGACCTGACTTGTGGGAATAACTGAAATAGAATGTGGATAACATACATTTTGTACAGAACATTTTGCTTAGTTAAAATATTCCCTTTAGCCACCAAAGCTGGTCCTGGGCTGACAGGTGTGCATTTCTCTCTCAATGGTCTACCCAGAAATGATAAGGTTACAGCTTTTTTTTCTTTCTTTTTATTTTTTAAATTTAAATAAAAAAGCAATTGACTGAAGCATTGTCTTTTTTTTTTTTTTAGGTAAATAGCAAAAATAAAAATAAAAGCCAACCCTGGCATTTCCATAAATAAAGCAAATGGAATGCCACGGCCCTTAAGAAGTTAGTAGAAAGACTGAAGTGAAGAAAATCCAGAGAAAAATTATGTATTAATTTTCCTTCTTTTAAAAATTTCTACATGTGCAAAAAAAAAACATGCTGTTTGAGGAAAATGAAAAGAAATGAGTACATAAAACTAAAAGTATAAATAATGTTTGGATGATTCAGTAAAAGCAGAAACCAATCTGGGTTATAGAAGGGTTATACATTCAAGATGCTTTTAAACCCAGTGGGATAACTTATGTTAAAACTGTGTTAATAGTTAACTTTAAAAATCTCAAGTTTGTTCTTAAATCTTCACAATACAAGCAAAGCTGTTTAAAATATACACTATACATATTTCTCATAGTCTCTCCAACCTCATTAATGCGCATTAGGCTTTTTCATATACTAAAAGGAGGGGTTCTCAAAGCTAACTTGCTCATTATAACCTGCACTATTTAAATGTTTTATATGGGTTAAAAAACCTTTTCAGAATTACATAAATAGGATTTAGCAACACAAGTGTTAATTTAAAAACTCTAAAGCATTTACAAATAGGTTGGAACAGCCTAGGGAAGTTATGTGCACTGTACTTTAAAATGTTATTTACATCAGACCATTATTTTTGTAAAAATTTCCCTAAAAATAAAAAAGAGAACCTATTCTAAACTAGCAGAGAAGAATCATAAAAAGTAAACTAATAACAAAATTATTTCCTAATGGAAATCCCACACATCCCTCTTCACTTGGATTTTACTCTATGAAACCACTGTGACTCCTAATAGGCTCTTCTATCAAGTGTCGAGACAATGTGGTAAAACAGTTTGTAGATAAATTTACTGGCCAAGTGGACTTGAAAAACAAAAAAAAAGTTTTTCCACCTTGTTTCTGGCTTGGGTTGTATGTGCATTTAACTAGAGGGGCAATCTAAATAGGCACAATTCCCATTTAATGTGGAATAAAAGACAATAAAATTGTTAGGAAGGAAGGGTGATGGTTTCTTTGAGAGTATGACGTGCAAGGAAGGACAACAGCACACGTGGAATGAATGGGAAGCAAAAACAACAGCATGGCAATACCCCAGGGGTAGCCAGCGCCTTGATAGACTGATATCACTGTTTATGACCCCCAAAAGCGCAAGAAGGACTCCATACCCACACTGTTATTAGGCAGTTGCATCTTTCAAAATTACAGAATTCTCTTGATGACCATGTGAAATTTGTACTAACAATAATGTTCATGCCAAGGCAATGTATTTGTGGGCTAAGAAAAAGCAAAATGTGCCACTAAGAGAAACCTGTTTCCATATAACTGGTCTTCATGCTTTCAAGTGGCTCTAATATACCTTGGATACTAAGCCAAGCCATGCAAAAGCAAAGAGTACACACTTTTCATTAACATTGGTATCTCATTTCTAAACCACTGACTTCAAAGTTGCCATAGAAACATATAACACAATACTGAAAGCATACAATTGAGGGCTCATGGATTTTTAAGAAATGCATTTCCCTCATCTATGTTCAACAGTCTTCAATATCTTAGCTACAAGGCATATCAGAGGAAGGGAGGCTAAGTGGGGGTAATGTCAAGGAACATACAGAATTCTGGAAGTAGGAAAAATGTTCCAGAAATGGGATCAATGTGCCAGCAATAAGCATAGTTCATTTCATTTTAAAATTCAGTTAAAAGAGCCCATAAACAGTCCCAAACCATAGCTATCACCTGCATAATTTACATAAACATTAACACACTTGCACTTTATAGACACTCTGTAAACATAGCCACTGTGGGTGGGAGACTCCCTACACCTCACTCATGACTGAAGACATGTAATCATCATATTAAATAAAATTACTTAGTTTCAAAAGATCTCAAACCTGACCAATGATTAAGCTCCATTTCTCCCTGTTTAACAACATTTAAGCATTAATTCTAAAAATATCACCTAGGATGGTTTCAGGGTTATATGCTAGAACCACAACTAGCAATGATAGCAACTCCTCTCTAGCTGGCACAGACTTATAAACTTTAGTACAAAACCAAAAAAATACAGAAACTAGGTCAATTTGTTAGCTACATATGTACAGATAATTACATGATTTTTCACTAATAATTGTTAAATTACAAGTGAAAGGAAACTGTGCAGGTTGAATTACCCGTACTTTTTTTTGGGGGGGCGGGGATTCTTGAGTATCAAGATACCCTTTTTCATTCACTGAGAAGTCTTACCTTCTCTTCTCTCCACATTTCCAACTACCTACAGATGTAAAGATTGTTATATCCAGTGGGCACTGGCTGGAGAGAATTAGCTTTTTCCTCTGTTTAAATAAGAACCCCTTGTATACTTAAAAGCAAAGGAAAAACCCAATACAATCTCTCCTCCCTTCCTCCCTCCCTCCCTCCCTCCCTCCCTCCCTCCCTCCCTCCCTCCCTCCCTCCCTCCCTCTCTCTCTCTCTCTCTCTCTCTCTCTCTCTCTCTCTCTCTCTCTCTCTCTCTCTCTCTCTCTCTCTCTCTCAGACACACACACACACAGAGTTGGATTGCTGGAAACAGTTAACAGATACGGTGACACAGTACATGGCTCCCCAGTTTGTGTTCTCTGTTTCTATTTAAGATACTTATTTTTGCATGGATGGGTGGTGCAAGTTTCAGAAGCCTTTAACAGGCAGATATGGTGCATATTTCTTATATTTATGTTCTGAAGGCCAGCATTTGTTTGAATAAAACTTTGGAAATCTGAATACAATCAAACGAAAAAACAACTTTAAAAGTGGGCTACCAGAATTCAGCAGAAAATATAAATGCACAAAAAGGAAGAATTCTCAGCTTCACTTTTTCTACAGTGTTTAATAAAAATTTCTTTACAAATTAATAGTTATTTCCAACGTAGTTCTACTGTAGTGATTTCATAAAAGTGCAGACAACATAACCAGACAGCAAAACAGACTTCAGTCAGTAGTCCTTGCATACAAGAGGCACGTATGCTGAGTGTACAGCACACTCTTCATCCTTTAAGGAATCCGAGGGTGGGAATTTCCAGTTCTTAACTAAGGGTGAGTGCCTTTTAAAAGGCGATGCTAAACCAGGGAAGGGAGACTTCTGTAACGGGGGGGGGGGGGGGACAAAACAAAACAGAATGTGTTTATCTTCAATAATGACCTGTATTTTGCTAAGCAGCTCAATGATGACAGCCCAAATTTTGACTTTGCTCCTTAGAGAAGGATCTATGTAAGAAGTGAGAATTTTTCATCATTATAGCAGATTCACACTTAGTACAGCTTAAATATATTATTTTTCTGACTTTAATACACATTAGGACACTTCACATTCTGAACAAGAGTCAAATGCAGAACTATAAAACCTCCAAAAGAAAGGGTTGCTGTGGCTGAGCATGGTGGGTCACAACTGTAATCCCACTACTTGGGAGGCTGGGACAGGAGTACTAGGAATTTGAGGCCAGCCTTGGGTAAACATCAATTACCAGACCAGAAAGGGTTACATGGCAAGACCCTGTCTCAAAAGAAAAGAAACAAAACTAAGAAAGGGGTGTTGTGTTGGACCAAATCTCAGCTTGAATAGTAGTGGCTCAGAAGGGGTGGAAGGTGCATAAAGAACTTACTATCGGCAAGTAAGATAGTAAGTTAAAAGGAGACAGCCCTTCAAACCAGTATCATGCCTTCTTTCTCAGTGACCATCTCCTGTGATTTTACAGTTTAGGAGAACCTTAGATATGTTTTAGTAGTAATTTCTTTCTCGGCAGTTTTGATCCTCAGCAAAATACACAACTATTAGTATTGAAAGTAAAAATGAACAAGAGAAGATCGATCATAGCATCAACACTAAGAGATCCAAAAAGCCCATTAAGAATGTGACTCATTGGCTTTTTACCTTTGCAGAAAACCACCACCAGGGTTCTTTGCACAGTTCATTTTTCTCCTGCTCATGTTTTATTGCATTGTAGAAAAAAAAAAACACAAAACAAAAAACTCAAAGAAACACCAACTGGCTCCTTCCCTATCACATTTTTACTATACTGTAATTTATGGTTTCATTTTACTTTCTCCTTACTCATACAAGTGTTAAGGGATTAAAAAGAAAAGACTGCATTTACTAATCACTTTCTTATAAATATCAGCCTAGAGAACTCTTTAAAAACACACACATCCTTGCCTTAACAAAGGGTAAAGAAGTAAAAAACAGTAACAAAACTCAAAACTGAGCCCTGGCATACATGTATAGAATGAGTTAAATCCATCCATCTATACACACAAATAGACACTCATATATATACATATATTACACAATATACACATACAAATGAAAATAGCTATACCAAAAGTATGCATATGTAACAGTTTTAAAAAGCCAGTAGATCATGGTATAATACAATTTATTTCCACTTGTAAATGGCACAAATGGAGAAATGCAAAGATGTTCAAGTACAACAAAGTCATTTTTATAGGTGAAAATAAATCATATTATTCCAGTGTCCAAAACAATGTATTCTATATGTTTAAAATGCTAGACATTTACAGAAGCACAAAATTACTAAATTCTGCCTAAAAAGGAAAAAAAGGATGTACACAAAAAGTTGAAGCAGGATGGAATCTCCAGGACAGTTTCTTTAGTGTTTTGAATGTTATTTACTTGATGTCTAGGCAGTCAAAAAATGATAATGACTATGTACGAAGTTTCACTTACTGGGAAGGCCTTAACTTGAGACTAAGTGTGTGTCACCTATGGGTGTGACTTCACGCTCAGGACTATTCATATCTAGTTATGGAAATGAATAGAAGGACAGGAGTGCTATAAAAATAAATACGCTTTCAGCTAACCTTGTTACTCAGTGCAAACACTTTCTGATGTCACAATGTAGGGTTAGAGTTAAGTTTTAAAGTTATGTGCAAAGATGGGGAATTTAATTAGGGATAAAATGTCTCAATATATGAGGTTGTGCATTTTTAAAATGCTGACCCAAAAATGGGAGCACAAGAAATATTTCCCTGTAGGCTCCGAATACCAGATATAAGATCAGTAACTTCTGGTGTGCTACACATGTTCTCCACGCTTTTCACTTTCTTAAACACACATATAATGAGTGGATAACTAGGGAGGAGGTGGTGTTAATCTGATAAAATGTTGACATTTTTTTCTCTCAGAAAGTGCATGCCCTGTCTTCAGGGCATTTCAAACCCTTTCAAATTTTCCTGCTACCAGTTTTTACAAAAATCCTGCCATGTACATGATTCCTCAGAAGTTGTAGCTTACAAACACATAAATCTATTCATTTTAATCATTTTTCAAACTACATGTATTTTAACTAAATTGACGGTGTAATCATGACCTACATGGGAAAGCTGGGTGCCACACAATTAGATGAGGCAGAAATCTCTATTAGAGATGACACAGTCGGTCAGTACAAAAATCACACTAGTATGAGTACATTATGATCAAAGTGGACTCAGCAACTCAGTCTGACCTAGGAAGGCTCACAGCTGGACTATAATATATATTTCTGGTAGTAGTTTGGAGTCTGAAAGAATTTTTAAAATTCCCACCTGACCCGCTTTCCCATTCTAATCCTCCAGTAGCAGATAGGGGTCAGATTCATGAAGAATGGTCTTTTTTATTTTTTTGGTTTTTCGAGGCAGGGTTTCTCTGTCTAACAGCCATAGCTGTCCTGGAACTCGCTCTGTAAACCAGGCTGGTCTAGAACTCACAGAGATCCACCTGCCTCTGCCTCCCAAGAGCTGGGATTAAAGGTGTATGCCATCACTACCTGACTTGATTGTCCATTTTTCTGAGAGATGGTCTTTTATAGTTCAGAACAGCCTATTAAATCTAAAGCTTTCCCTAATTTCCTCCAAATATACAGAACTCTCAATATGTTTGAAACTCAAAATAGTATCTTGAATTAAAAAAAAAACCAGAAAACAAAAGTCCTTTTCATTAGCTCTAAGTATATGTTTACCTAAAAACTAATGTAGAACCTATTTAAAAGTGTGAATTCTGCCATCAACCTTCTATCGGTTTTCAAAGGATCTATAGTATAGCATCTTTCTTCCCTTTGCGAGACTCCTGAAGGCAGTCTTGAACCCCAGACTACTACCTTCCAGGTGCTGGGATTATAAGCATGTGCTACCACACCCTGATCTAATTTTTCTTTTAGTTAGTGTCAGAAACTCTCAAACCAAAGTTAGAAATTCCTTAAGGAGGTAAGTTAGGGAGATTGGAATGGCATACCTGGACAAGACTTAAGATGTGGTTAAGAAAACAAAGAACTTCAATAGTAGCAGATGACAATTCGGTCACTAGCTTGTTCTAAGTATGATTAAGTGTGTTCTTGCCCTCTAATTACATGAAAAGCAGGACCCAGAGTTAGCAGCAAGAGCTCTTCAAGATAACTGAAAAGGGAGGACAGTAACTTGTAAGAAACTCTGGTCTGTCACTAAAAATGGCATTACCCCTTTCCTACCTCCAACTCAAGCTCTACACAAGCAACCAGAGGATTCTAACTAGCACTGATGGAGAACACTGGATTGATCCTTCATTGAAGAAAAGACAGAACACACTCCCCAGTTAGTGTTCCCTGACCACTATATAACTTATTTTTAATTTCTGTTTTCTTTTACTCACCAAACTACCTTAGTTTCTTTCTCAGTAGTATTTTAGCACTAAGCTAGAGACTTCTGAAAGGGAATTTGCTATTGTGTGACATAACCTGGGCTAAGATGGTCACCAAGTCTCAGTGAACTAAAAGTTTGTAAGGTACTGCAGCAACAAAAACATTGACTAAATACAGAGGGCCTGCAGATGAAGCAGCATCTACAGTGTGAAGATTAGTCAGCAGCTGATAGTCATGGCTCAGTGACTCCTGGTGGCAACGAAATATTTAAAGAATCGACTATTGCTACTTGTAAACAGGAAATCCCATAAGCCAAAAAGGGGATAGATAATAAAATTATGTCTATGTAGTGTGATGAGTATTCTAATAGATGGCAGCTAACAAATATGGCATCATTCAAACACCTCTGGCATTTGCTTTGTGTTGGCTAAGTGTCTTTGTTTATGTACAAACAAAGCAAAAGTACTGTTTGGGGTCTTATAGTTTGGGTAGCATGAGATATCACTGCACAAGAAACAAAATGTCAGGATATATAGGCTTTATCTCCTCGTTCCATGCTGAACATATATTTATCATAGGAACTTTGAGGGCCCCCTAACGCTTTGGATTTTCCCTCTGATAGCTCACAGGCTTGTTAGTGCAAACTCCAGACAGCTTATGATCTCCTTAAGCAACTCCATCTTACAACGATACAACCTACAAAATCAGCAACAAACTTCTGAAGCATTTAGCAAAGAACTAAATGATTTTCTACCACCTAAAAAGGTAAATACAATCTTTTAATGTTCATGGTTTTCTGCTTTTTAGCCCAAATGAGGTTGAGAAGTCAGACCAATTTCACAAAGAGAGGATGCACTGATAAGGAGTGGAGGTATGTGTCAGTAAGAGTGTGTTTCAGTACAGATGCCGCCTGCTGTCAGTGACTTGGGAATCTGGGATATGGAGGAAGGCTTTACATCTTCCAATAACCTTTTTAGGCTATGGACATCCTAAAGTGATGATTCAGGCCAGTTTGGTTCATTTTATTTTTACATTGTTCAGATAAAACCCCTTCTATTAAGCCAATTTCTTCTTGCCACACATATGAAATTATTTATCTATTCCCACTTTTAAAATTTTCCAAAATTTAAAAACAAAGAAACAAAAAGCCAATCACAAAAACCTGGCAGCCAAATACTATGACATCCCAATTAGTAAACACAAAACATAGCGCTTTACAAAAACGAATAGAATATACCATATGCACTCAGCTTCCACAAGGTAGTGCCCAAGGGAGGAGGTTGCTGTGATGGTGTCTGTAGGCAGTTTCTTTTGCTGACAGCTCCAGCGGAATTGCCACTTTCAATTACTATGTGTAAGACATGTGTGACCCATTGGATATCTGTGAAGTGACACTCGTGCTTCTGCTCATGCCCTGTTCCGTCCGTCCCCCAGAAGCTGTCCGCCTCAGAGCCTGGGGGCTATTGCGGACTCCCATACTGCTACCTCGGGGGACCCCTTGCATTGGCCCTGAGGGATGACCCCATGGCTGGGGTCCACCTTGCATTGGATGGCCCCAACCTTGTGGTGTGCCACCCATGGGATGACCCCAGTGAGGTCCAGGACCCCCAGTAGGATTGTGAGACCAACTAGAAGCTCCTGGGTAGCTGTGGCTGAATGCCTCAGGGGAGAGGTTAGAAAGGACCATGTTACTAAAACCTAGTCTCATGCTTTCAGAGTCAAAAGCTTCAATTTCTCTGGCTTGACGCTCGAGCAGGCTACGTATTCGTTCTGTGCGTTCATTCTGCAAAGCCAACATCTCTTCTTCAATCTGTCAGGGTAGGAAAAGGGAGTGAAAAGATCAATTTATGTTTCAGATCTCTAAGCTAAGGCAGCAATAACTACTAAAAACAATAACAGCTATTTTATGGATATATACTGAAAATTATTTTAAAAGACACACTGGGATTAAAGGTGTATGCCACCACTGCCAAAATCTACCTTTTTTATATCAAAAGTATGGTTTTGAAAAACACAAATGCAAGTAGGATTTGAAACAGGATCTCACTGTGTAACCTTAGCTGGCCTGGAGCTCAACTGTAGGTCAGATTGGCCTTGGGCTCACAATCCACCTGACCCTGCCTCTAGAGTGCCCAGCCAGGTTATACTTTTTGATCTAATGTCAATTAAGATTAGCAAAATAGCTATTTCATTGAGATACTAATATCACAGTGAAATTTGTGGTAACAAATTTTTAGTTTGTATCTAAGTTTCTCCTATTATGTCAAAAGTCTTGTTTTATAATTTGTTTATTTGGATTGAGGCTAAGCTAAAAAAAAAATACATTTTTTTAAAGTTTTTTTTAGTCTAAGGCAGTCTATTCCCCTCACCTCGTAAACTGGTTCACTTGTCCTATAAAAATGTCTAAATTCTGGATTTGACTAATTACGACTTGGTGTCATCATTTAGTATTTTCTCCTATACTTAATATTTTCTATAAACTGGTAGATATGTAAGGATGTTTATATTTAGGTTAAATTGGTCATTTATTGATATAAATGGCCTAAACTCATGATCGTGCATCAGTCAGAATTCTCTGTACTGGAGGACAGCACAGGCATGTCTTAAAACAAACCCAACTATACAAGAACTGGATTCAGCATGGTAACCACACCATGGTGTACCACCTCATCAGCTTTTTTCAAAGAAAACAAAAAACAAAAAAACTTCAGGGTTGGGAATGGATGAAGTCAGCACTGGTGACTGAACCTGGCCAGGTCTCCAGCATGCTAGGAAAACACTACTACCTAGACACTATGTTTTACATCACATAAGATGTGTGTCTGTTCAAACATTCTTTATGTAGTTCAAGCTATGCTGGAATATTGAATCCTCCTGCCTCAGCCACCATGCATTTTACATTTTTATTTATGTATATAAGCATTTTGTTTGCAACATGTGTGTGCCTGATACTCATGGACAAAAGAAACGGGTGTCACATCCTCTGAAACTGGAGTTTCTCTGAAACTTGCTCTGTAGACTAGGCTGGCCTCGGACTCACAGAGATCCTCCTGCCTCTGCCTCCCAAGTGCTGGGACTAAAAGCGTGAGCCACCATTGCCTGGCGGGTGCTGGAAATTGAACCAGTGTTCTTAACCACTAAGCCATTTCTCCAGCACCATCTTTTGAATAACAATAAAATTAATCAGAAGATCCTGATTGTCAACTCATCATACAACAGAAAGTTTTCGTCTACTTTTTAAATTGACTTCATTGTTGGTCTTGGTGATGTGCACTTGTTATCCCAGCATCCAGAAGGCTTTTCATCTGGAGGTAAGAGGTGAAAAAAGACTTCATAAATTTTGAAGAACTGGGGCTGGGAGTGTTGCTCAGTCATAGAGCATGTGCTGAGTATGTACAATCTCCTGCATAAAAAAGAGGAGATGGCAGGGGAATGGAAGGGAGGGAAGAAAGGTAGAAGGATAACAGAGGAGGTGGATGGCAGTTGTGGTGGGTCCTGTGGGATCAAACTCAGCTTGTCAGGCTTGACAGGAAATGTCTCTACCTGCTCAGTCGTCTCATCAGCCCTACTTTTATTTACTTGTTTAATCCCTTGCCCCCGAGACAGGGTTTCTCTGTATAGCTACAATGAATGCCTTTTTAAAAACTTCTCAAAACCTTTAGCCACTATCCTTTTAATAAATTGATCTTTCTCAGAAACAGACACACATGCACCTTTGTACTTTGAGTGACAAATTAACTTCAGGATTCTAGATCTATTCTCTAATATATCTGAGAAAGAATAAATCAGAAAAAGTAAAGATACAATAACATGATACTGCATGCCTGTAATCCCAACCCTAAGGTGGAAACAACTCTGAGAAGAGTTCGAGGCTAACCTTGAATATGTGGTGAGTTCAAGGCCAACTTAAACTATTAAGAATTGTCTCCACTGCCCCCCCAAAACCCTCCAAATCATAATGATGAAACTAGATGTATAAAATGTGTTGTTTTCAGCTTGTAGGACAGGTTTTAACTTCTGTTCCTCTGTAATCTCCCACCATCTGCATAGTTTCAAACTAAAGGTGTAAGGGTGAAGAGTACATTCCTGGTTTTCTCTCTTTTGGGCAATCACTGCAATTCTGTTCCTCACTATATAAGTCTTTCTGCAACCTCCTTAGGTAGAGCAAGGCAGACAAAGATATAAGGGAAATGAAGCCAGCATTGCTTCTCTCACAGAGTTTTATATCCTTTTTGTTTATAGGTGTCATGTAGCCCAGGTTAGCCTCAAACTTGCTATGTAGGCAAGGAAGATCTTGAACTCCTATCCTCCTGCCTCCATATCAGAGGGGCTTAGATTATAGATAGGTGCCACCACGCATAGTTCATTTTTTTGTGCTTTATTGTTTTGGGGACCTTAGGCCTTGATCAAGTCCTTGCACTGTGCGTATAGCCACTACTTCCTTATCTTCAGCTTCTCCTTGGGCCCAGTGGTACATGACTCATTTTTTTCCTTGGGTCATAGGCCCATGAGCCTGTATTTCTTGTCCCTGTAGAATTTACTGTGGTTTTCTTTCTGAGTCTGGTTAATGATGGTGAGGATGTAAATGAAGAATTTGTGGACAACTCAGATATTGGAGAGCTTGGACACAGATACAATGAGTTGTTTCAAGCAGCTCTTTTGTATCTCTAAGGTACCAAGTCTTAGTCTTCTCATGGCTCATAATCTTTATCTATTAATTATATTCTGTGGTCATATTTTGTTTATGATCTAACAAAATAAAACTTGCCTGAATTTCAGAATGCAAAGCTAGCCATACTAGTTAGCCATAGAGGCCAGACAGGGATGGTACACATGTTTAATTCCAGATAGAGGCAGACAGATCTCTGTTAGTTCAAGGCCACTCTGAGCTACACAAGACTGATCCAGTCTAATAGAAAAACAGAGCTCACACAAAGGTGATCTCAGCCCTTGGGATCCGGTGCCTTTAATCCCAGCACTAGGGAGGAATATAAGACAGGAGGAGACAGGAGCTCAAGCAGTAGGTTTGGTGGAGACAGATACAGTCTGGAGATGCATTCTGAGCATTGGTAGAGGTGAGAACCCTCTAGAGGCTAGCTGCTTTGTTTCTTTGATCTTCAGGCAAACTTTACTTGTTAGATTATAAATAAAATCCCTTGAATTTTAGAACTCACTTAGAGTTCATTATTGAGCTGGGTATAGTGGCACATGAATTTAATCCCAGTACCCAGGAGGCAGAGGCAGAGGCAGGTGGTTCTCTGAGTTCAAGGCCAGCCTGGCCTACATAGTGAGTTCCAAGACAGCCAGAGATACATAGTGAAATGTTGCTCAAAAACAAAACAAACAATAAATAATAAAAGTTCATTATTGAATACTTAAACTACCAAAATAGAACTATTGAAAGACAGTATTATGAAAGAAATCTAATGCAACCCCTGGTGATATTAATAGAGTTCTAGCCTAAATGTCTTAAGCTCATTTTTTCAGTTCAAATAAAAGCTGTGAATCTGGGTGTGGTGGTGCAAATCCTTAATCCCAACACTGGTAGAGGCAGGGAAAGCTCTATGAGTTCAAAGCCAACCTAGTCTACCTAGGAAATCCAAGGCCCACTAGGGCTACAGAGTGTGACCCTGCCTCAAAAACAAACAAGAGTGATGGAGATGGCTTAGTAGGTAAAAATATTTGACATGCAAGCATGAGGACTCAAGTCTAGATATCCAGAACCCATGTAAAAGCTAGATACAGCCTGATAAAGGTGTATCTTCTCTGTGAGTTTAAAGCTAGCCTGGTCTACATAGTGTTACAGGCCAGTCATGGCTACATAGTAAAACCTTATCTCAAAAAATAAAGAGAAAAGAAAAAGAAAAAACCAAAGTGTGAAAGGCATACCTGTAATTCCACCATGTTTACGGTGAAATGGAAAGTGGACAGAAGACCCCAGAAACTTGTGGGCTAGCTACCACAAACATGGGGAAAGTGAAGAATGACACTTGACCCTATTCTCTGACTTCTGCACATGCCATGGTACAGAAGTCTGCACTCACACACAAATATGCACATGTGCAGAAAATACATCATACATATATATTGAAAGAAAATAAAAACACACGCCCGTCCATCCCAAGCTTGTGGGCACACACATATATATTTTGTTCTTTTGATAAAAACAAATATTAGAACAATTCTCTTCCTTTTGTTATCTATACCTTTTGTTCTAAGAGTGCCCTGCGAAGGGAGACCCTCTGTTCCAGCTCTCGAAGCTCTCGATCATGTTGGGCCTCGGCCTGCATCTTGATTTTGCTCTGATATGCATTCAATAGCTCCAGTTCCTGCTGCAGCTGCATCTTCAAAACCTGGCATTCTGCTTCCTGTGCTTCATCCAAACGCAGCTGAGAGAAAGAAGAGAAACTGATATATTTTACTGTGAACTATCCATTCATAACTTACAGAAAAGAAGACCAAGAGAAGACACACTACGCTTTTGTAAGCCACATATCTTTTTTTCTTGTAGCCTGATATGGACATCCCCAGAAAAAAAAAAAAAGACAATAATCAATACTGCATGACAATAAGCTGCTCTAAAGATGCCTGAGTAACTATACTTTTTCTTAAGAAAAATCTAGAATATGATTGGGTAATATAAAATGCTCAATCTCTCCTTTCCTAGTAGAAGTTAAAGTCAATAAGCACAGCACACAAGCCAAATTTGGGTAACTGCTTGTTTATCTTAGTTCAGTCCAATAGTTAAAACTGTTTTACATTTTGACATGGTTACATTTTTTTTTTTAAAGATTTATTATGTATACAGTATTCTGTCTGCACGTATGTCCACAGGCCAGAAGAGGGCATCAGATCTCATTACAGATGGTTGTGAGCCGGAATTGAACTCAGAACCTCTGGAACAGCAGTCAGTGCTCTTAACCTCTGAGCCATCTCCCCAGCCCCATGGTTACATTTTTAATAGTTAGAAGTATCTACATAAGATCGTCACTTTTAACTCCCGGTCTGCAAAGTCTAAAATATTATTTGGTCCTTTAAGAAAACACTTGCACAGTATTTCATTCACGAGCTCCAAGGTAACCATTTAAATTCCTATACACAGAAGTATGTTTTGCTTACAGTTTACTCATCTGATCTAGGTAAGCAGTTCATACGTGCAGGGAGCCTTTATAGGATTTTATTTCTAAATGTATTTATATACACCATGCTTTTTCCAAGCAATGTTAAGAATAGGAAGAATACAGATGACCACTATTTTTTCCTGGACTATTAGAGAGCTATCGTTCCCAATTTATCTTTTAATTGCTAGGGTTTCATTTAGGTGACAGAAAGAAAGGATTACTAATTTGTTTTGCCTAAACAAAGCAAACTCACAGCTTGTGTGGAAAGCATTTCATTAATGCTATGATCGTACTGCTCAGCCAAGATGGCTAACTTCCGAGTCTGTTCCTCCTTGAGTCTTTTCAGAACAGCTTTGTGCTCACTCTTTGGTGTAGTCTCCAGTAGGTGGTTTCTTAATGCTTTGTACTGTCTGGTTTGAATTTTGCATGTGTCCTGAAATTGCTTTTTTATCTGGAGTTCTTTAGACTGAAAAGAAAAAAAAAAAATAGAGGGTATGTCTCAACATATAGTATTTGGCATAGTGTATACTTAGAAAATAGAGAACCACAAAGTCATATGAAAAGACTGCAGATATCTTTTACACTTGACAAACATTCATGCCATAAACTTAAATTTCATCTCATTAAAAAAAATTATGATGCCGGGCGGTGGTGGCGCACGCCTTTAATCCCAGCACTCGGGAGGCAGAGGCAGGTGGATCTCTGTGAGTTCGAGGCTGGGCTGGACCGATAGCCTCCAAAACAATACAGAGAAACCCTGTCTCGAAAAACCAAAAAAAAAAAAAAAAAAAAAAAAAAATTTTTTATGGTAGTTATAAACACATCGAGGTAGAATTTTACCAGATAATTGAGGCAGAAAACAAAAACATGTTCCATTCCAATCTCTTTTCTTTCCATAATCTCAACTCTAATCACAATCTATAACAGATCCTACTTTCTATGGAAAATATGTACCAAACTTCAGATTGATTTTGAAGTGTGCAATAATAAATGATTGCTGCAACTACATTTTCTCTAAGACAATAAGCTAGATAGAATCAAACTTAGTAATAGTTCATTCCCCTTGTCCTTTACCAATTTGTCCTTGAAATCTTCCTGCTTCAATATGCTTCAGCCTGCTCAGTGCTGGAACTGCAGAATGCATGTGCCACTTGCAGTAATGGCTTATTTATTCTTTTCTATCTTTATTTATTAATTTATTTTTGGTTTTATGAGACAGGGTTTCTCTGTCCAAGAACTCACTCTGTAAACCAGGTTGGCCTTGAATTCAGAGATTCATCTGCCTCTACCTCCCAGTGCTGGTATTGAAGGCATGCCAAACCACTGCACAGCAAGGTATTATTTCTATAAAGTATGCTAGTTCAGCCTAGAAGTGAGAATATATTCATTTATTATGCTGAGACAGAGCCTACAGTTAAAAATATTTTTACCACTATAAATAATGCTAGGTATAAATTAGTTGATTCAGTATACATGTCAAGAATACAAACATAAACCCAAGTTTACTGGGGATTAATTTAAAAGTAGAGCACCTGCCTATCAGTAAAGTATAATTGAAAAGTTAATGCCTCAACTTCCACATTGTACCATTAATATAAATATTTCTGTATTCATCACCAACTGAGGAACCATGTCCTGGCTATATGCTAGAAATCATATATGAAGAAAGGTAAAGAAATGAAAAGTTATAAATGACTTTTGGTTTAGCCATGCTTAGTATTATTGCTCTTAAATACTGGTTTGGATTGGTTTGTGATAAGATTTCACCATGTAACTCTGGCTGGCTTGGAACTTGATATAGCCAGGCTGCCTCTGCTTCCAGAGTGTTGGGACTAAAGGGCTACCACACTCAGATTAAATACTGTTCTTGATCAAGGAATAAGATAATGAAATTTAGACATTCTCTTTTACCTCTGTGTAAGTCTCTTCTTCAAAATGGTAGTCATCCCATAACATGATTGGGGGGTGCCCCTTAAATTTTTCTTTATCATAAATTAAATCATGTTTGGCATGCATATAATACCAGCACTTGGGATGCTGAGGTAGAAAGATTAAGGTCCATATGGACTCCATAGACAGACTGCTGCAAAAGAGCCAGATTTGGCACATGCTTATAATCCTAGTACTTGGGAAAAGTAAGAGGAGTAGGAATTAAGGTTATCTACAGTTACCCTGTGATTCTGAGACTAGCCTCTTACAGAGGCCTCGGTTCAGTTCCCAGCACTCATATGGCAGCTCATAACCACCTGTACATCTAGTTTCTGGACTCTGAGGATACAAGACACTTAGATACATGTAGGCCAACATTCACACACATAAAATGGGGGGAAAAAGTGAAACCAAAGCTCAAGAGAAATATTAACAATCAGACCAAGAATAAACTACATCCTTCCATGTGGATTCAATAGAAAATGAGATAGAAAGTTGGTGGTGGTGGCCTATGCCTTTAATCCCAGCACTTGGCAGTCAGAGGCAAGTGGAACTCTGAGTTCGAGGCCAGCCTGGTTTACAAAGTGAGTTCCAGGAGAGCCAAGGCTACACAGAGAAACCCTGTCTCACTCAAAGAAAGTGAGATGGATTCAAATTATAATTATCACCTATAAAACAGGTTGAAGAAATAAAAGAGGCAGTAGTTTATATCTAATCCATTCTACACAAACAGCACCCTTCTGTCGCAAATCCTAGTCACTGAAGTCTCTCCTCTAGTTCAGCATCTCACAGAAAACTACAGGTAGCATAGACAGACACTTATTGGGATGTGTTGGTGGTAAACCAAACATTCTGTTGAAACTGACTGCACAAGTAAAAGAAACATAAGAGTAACTTTTCTTCTATCCTTATGTTCATTTGTCATTAGAATAGGGTATTCTATGCTGGACAATGAGGCAGAGGCAGGAGGATATCTGTGAGTTCAGGCCAGCCTGGTCTACAGAGCAAGTTCCAGGAGAGGCTCCAAAAGCTACAGAGAAACCCTGTCTCAAAAGCAAAAACAAAACCAACCAACCAACCAACCAACCAACCAAACAAACAAACAAACAAAAAAAAAAAAAAAAAGGAAGAAAGCATTCTACTTAGTGTCTGAAATAATATGGTAAAACATTTTCCTCACTTTCATGTAATGCCCAAGATACTCAGATTACAATCAGTTCTCAAGCTAAAAAGGTTATAGGAAGAAAGGGTTCAACTAAGCCTTAGGAAAACGTAGTCAGCAGAATTACAGTATGACTACAGAAAAACGAGTTAGTGTCAGTTGAATTCGTTATCAGTTTGGTTCATGTTTGGGTACTGTTGGTTTTAAAGTTATAATTTCAAAAACAAATACTGATTTAAAAACTCTTTGGTGGGGTTTAGAAATGTAGCTCACTTAGAAGAGTAGTCGCTCAGTGTGTATAAAGCTCTGGGTCAGTCCTTTTACTTCATAACATGGGGGTATTGGCACATCCCAGCAATTCCATCATTCAGGTTTTGACAGAATTCAAGGCCATCTTTGGATGCATAATGACCCAGCCTACACTATATGAGACCCTCCATCTAGAAAAATGACCAAAAAAAAAAAAAAAAAAAAGGGAAGAAAAAAACCTTTGGCTGTCGAGTATCTGAACTATAGCCAGATGATTCACTCACTACATAAACAAAGTTCAAAAAGTTGTTATGAATTCCAAGTTTTTTAAACATTGATAATCAATATAACTACTCTGCAAATGCTTCAGTCTTCTGAGTCTTGGATTATAGGGGTGCCATACTTGGCAGAAAAGAATCTTTCAATAGAAAATACTTTGGGACCTGGCGCTTACTGGACATTAAGAGAAAATTTAAATGTGTAAACAAGTACAGATTAAGTGAACTGCTATCTTTGGTGAAAACCTTACAGCAAGTGCTTTTGTTTGTAGTTTTTAAAAGACTGATTCAATGACTTCAAACACTCTTCATTATAAAATATAAAATTTTTTGAGGCCAGCCTGGTCTACAGAGTGAGTTCCAGGACAACCTCCAAAGCAACACAGAGAAACCCTGTCTCAAAAAAAAAAGTTCTTTAGAACTGTTTAAGGGGGACAGTTTAGTTAGCTAAATGTTCCTTTAAAAAAATTCTTTGGATGATTGCTTCTAGGTCTATTGGCTAAAATCAAGTGTTAAAAAAATCTTTGGAGAAATTTAGAAATGTAGACTAAGGGAAGAGAACAAAATTTTTCAAAAAAATATTTGATTTTATAATTTTGAGTATTTTGCCTGTACCATGTATGCCTGGTGCCTGAAAAAGTCAGAATATTGGGTTTCCTGGAACTAGAATTGCAGGTGGTTATGAAGTACCATGTCAGTGCTGGGAATCAATTCCTGATCCTCTGAAATAGCAACCATTGCTCTTAATTGCTGAGTTATCTCTCCAACCTCACTTTCGTATTTTTAAATTTTATATAATTCAGCCGGGTGGTGTGACACACACCTTTGATCTCAGCACTTGGGGGAGGCAGAAGCAGGCCAGCTTCAGTTTGAGGCCCACCTGGTCTATATAGTGAGTTCCAGGACAGACAGCTACATAATGAGACTCTGTCTCAAAATACCAAAAATTTTATATAAATCATATTGACATCAAGAGTCCCAGACTAAGTTATTTAGAATAAAAAGAAACTGACAGGTTAGTATGTTGACCTGTACATTATAATGTCAGCATCAGATACTGTATACATTTAAAAACACTGATTAAGAATTTCCACAGTTAAAATTTTTGGTGATTCTTTTTCTTTGTTACAAAGTACAAGCAAAAGCTGAACCAAGAGGCAGTCCATATAAGAACCAAGCAAGTATGCTAAAAATGAAAAGGACTAATTCAATCCCACTTCTCTCAATGACTAGACATATGCCTTTATCATGAAGCTTCACTAACAGTACCTTCAAACTCTTAGGTTGTTGTCGAACTTCCATAACATGTTTTCGCCTTAGTTCCCGTTCCCTTCGCTTATTGTATTCCAGCTGGTTAGTGAGCTCAGTTTGATGCTGCAGTCTGATCAACTCACAGCGCATCTTTTGAATAGTGTTGAGGTGGCGAAACTCCAGTTCTTGCATGGATTCATGCTGTCGTAGTAGCATAGCATGTTCCAAGTCCTTCTGAGTCTGCCTTTTGTTTAACTCCTAAAATACAATTCAAAAGACAAAGCAATTAATTTATAGCTTCACCAACAGAGTGAGTGTGTGTGTGCGTGTGCACATTAACAAATAAACAAAATGGGCTAGAGAGATAGCTCAGTGGGCAAAGCACTTGCCACGGAAACATGAAGATCTGATTTCAAATTGCCAGAACCCATATATATTCTAGCCATGATAGTATGTGTCTATAGTATGAGAGACAGACTGGGGTGGGGGTGGGGGTGTGGGGGGGGGATAGATGAAGGGCTGCAAGTGTAAGAGTACCTACATGCAAGCACATCTGGCTGTGTGTGTGCATGCACAGCCCCTCCCAAAAACAAAAACAAAAAATGTGGATACAATTAATTCTGCACTCCAATAATGGCTGTACAATAAATACTAAGTTTCTATGACTTTTGTGTTTGTGTGTTTGAGTGTTATTTGTACATAAAAGAAGATTTAATGGGGAAGAGATAAGTTCTTAAAGCTTCTCAGAATAATATGTAGCACATAGTGGTGACGAATGAATTTTTTTTTATTTAAGTGTGTGTGCGCGCGCACACAATGTTCTGCTGGCATGTATCCCTGCGGGCCAGAAGAGGGCACCAGATTTTGTTGCAGCTGGCTGTTAGCCACCATGTGGTTGCTGGGAATTGAACTCAGGACCCCTGGAAGAGCAGCCAGTGCTCTTAAACACTGAGTTATCTCTCCAGCGCAATGAATGTTATTGTTGCTGGGCATAGTAGCTCACATCTGTAATAGCAGACGAGGAGACAGGTAGATTGTATAAAGTCCAGCCTTGTCTACATATCAAATTCCAGGTCAGCCAGGGCTGTGACAGACACTGTCTCAAAACTAAAGTGTAATAAAATAAAAATAAAGTAAAAATATTTGCTGGACAGTGGTGGTGCACACCTTTAATCACAGCACTCTGGAGGCAGAGGCAGAGGCAGGCAAGTCTCTGAGTTTGAGGTCAGCCTTATCTACAAAGTGAATTCCAAGTCAGCCAGAGCTATTACACAGAGAAACCTGTCTTGGAAGACAGACAGACAGTTATTCTCTTAAAATATTTCTTTTTCCAAATAAAAAGGGGAGCTGGGGAGATGATTCAGTGAAAACAAAAAAAGCACTTGATGCTCATGCAAAGGACCTGTATAGTGGCTCATAGACTCCTCCAACTCAGGACACAGCAACCTTCTTCCTGCCATATGCACTGCATGCACATGGGTGGACATATAATCACACACAATAAATAAATACTTTGGAAAAAGTATGTATACATATAGACATATCAATAATAACATGAAAAATAAAAAGGTGTGTGATCCCAGCTGCTGAGATCATCTTTGTATGAGCTGTTTCTCTTTAGGACTGGATCAATTTTATGTAGATCTGATTGGCCTTGGACTCACAGAGATCCGTCTACCTCTTAATCCTGAGTCCTAGGATTAAAGATGTATATCAGCACCTCCTAGCTTCTGGCTGCTGGGATTAAAGGTATGTGCCTAGCTTCTATGGCTTGTGACTGACTTTGCTTTCTGAATCCTCAGGCAGGCTTTGATAAATAATAAATAATATATCACTACCCAATAATGTGAAAAAAATCAATGGCGCCCATTACCCTGCAAATTCTCTAACCCTAGAGGCCAACAGCTTGTTGTAGATGTTTCTCAGCTTTATTTTATTTATTGGGACATATCCACTGTTAAAAAATAAAACAGTAATTTTTTAAAATCTATAGTTCAGCCAGGCAGTGGTAGCATACACCTTTGATTCCAGCACTTGGGAGGTAGAGGCAGGTAGATCTCTGAGTTTGAGGTCAGTCTGGTCTACAGAGTGAGCTCCAGAATAGTCAGGGCTACAAAGAGAAACCTTACCTTGTAAAACAAATCAAAAAGCTATAGTTCAATCATTTGCTCACAGGATGGTACTAACAATGTCCATTAACATCTAAACAGAAGCCTCTAAGTGCTGAGGTTAAAGGTGTAGCCCTCCACACCTGTCAAAAATTTAAATTTTCAAAAAAGATTTATTGATAAAGAGTTTTATTGTACGAATCAGGAGATGACGCAGGAGTTACCACACAAGTTTAAGACCAGTTTGGACTGAATAATGAGTTTTAGGCCAGCCTGGCACATAGAGTTAGGCCTTGTCTTTAAAATTTTTTTTAAATTTCCAGCACTGAATATGTTTATCTGTTTATTTTAATTGTTTATATCATTCAAATGTACATACCTCCCTGACAAGGTCCTGTTCCAAATTATGTCGCCCAAGCAACATTCTTCTCTTGAAGCGACGACATTCTAGTTCTAGATACTGCCTTTGACGTCGAAGAAGGTTAGCTTCTTCTTCTGCCTGGAAATGTTGTATATTCTCCTTCTGCTTTGAAAGCCATTCCTGCTTTTCTTTTTTAGGTGTGCTCTGATTTTCATTCAGCTCCTAGAAACAAAAATTACCAAAAACAACAACAACAACAAAAAAAACCCAGCTACATAAAAATATGAATGTATAGTATAATAAGGTACATAAAACTAGTAATTATTACTATGTAGCCTGTGATGGTCTTGCATTTACAATCCTCCTGCTTTAGCCTCCTTGGTGGTAGAATTATGTAGGCACATATCTCCATGAGTAGCTATGGTAAATTTACTTATTTACTCTTCACAGTGAAGGAACTTAATGTAGGGCCCTGACAATGCTAGAAGCTACTTTGTGTTTTCTTTCTAATAAGAGCTCAGTAGACCTGAAAAAGTTAGGTAATATATCATTTTACACGAATAGCTTTAGTTTTGCACAGCTTCATTTTCATGTTTCCTGGCTTTAAAGCACAGAATGACTGGTTAGTAGGCAAAACTTTCCAAAACTTTCCAAGAAGAAACAGCAGCAATTCAAGAAAAAAAAATTTATTGGAATTAAAGATAAAACATTTAAGCATAATTTTAACCCCTTTGTTTTTCAAGATTCTGGCATTTTCTTTAATGAAATAACAAACAACTAATCATATTACTCAAGGAGATAAACCTAACATGCTAATTAATACTGGTAGATTTTGCCTCAGGCTCCTCAGTAGGTAGGTACAGGTATATCACACCAATCTAGATCATGAAATGATTCTATTTAGTTCCTATTCAACTAGAAAACTTAAGTAAATTGCAGATAATAATCAATGCCTTCATGTCAATAGATATAGACCTTGTGGCCACAAATAAATCCTTATGTTTACTTCTGAGTAGAGAACAATTAAACACAACTAATAACAGAAAAACACAAGGAATTTTTGTAAAAAGAAGTACCTCCTTAAGCTGCTCTTTTCGAAGTTTATATTCTCTTTTTTGGGACTCCAAAAAGCTATTCAGTTCTTTCTTCTGTTGGGCCTGAATGTGTTGCTGGAATTTTTTCTCCTCATTGGCCATTACTTTAGCCTATGCAGAAAAAAAAATCAAATTAGTTAAATAGATAAATTTAAAGCATCCATTACCCAGGATACTTAGTCATGGTAGTAGTAGTAGATGACGACAAAGAAGCATCAAAAACACCTGGTCTATAGAGAATGAATTCGAGACCAGCCAGGGCTGTTGTTAGAGAAACCCTGTCTTAAAAGACCAAAAGCCAAAACCAAACCCAGAAAATCCAAAACAAACAAAACAAAGGAAAAAACTCACATGTTCCCTTTATTAAAACCAAATACATATTTATCTTCAAACATAAACTAATAATTAAAAAAATATTTTTAATTATATGTGTATATGTCTGTGAGGTGCCTGCCGAGGCAAGAGGAATCAGCTCCCCCTGGTCCTGGGATTACAGGTGTTGTGAACCACCTGATGTGGATGTTGGAAATTGAACTTAGGATTCCTGGAGTATGTGTTCTTAACTACTGAGCCATCTCTCTAGTCCTATAAACCAAGCTTTTATAACTGAGTTAATTTATATGTTAAACAATGATATATTCATCTTTAAATTAGATCCTTACCTGTAACTCATAAAATTGAATGTTAAACATTGCATACGTGTCATATATAACTTGGGTGGAGTGTGTGCTGTTTTGAATATACACATGTGAGTACGCACAAATGGAGGGCAGAGGTTGATTATGGGTATTTTCCATATTTTCTGAGATCCTCACTGAACAAAGAGCTCATCGATTCAGGTAAACTGGCTGTAACATTTTGCTGCAACGTCTAGGATGTACATTTTTAAACTTCTGTTGTTGTTCTTACAGTGCTAGGATAAAATCATGAACTTTGCACACACTAGGGAAGCACCCTACTACAGTCACTGAACTTTACTTCCAGACCCTTTTCTCAAAATACTGACTCTTAATGTGTGACTCAAGTTACTTGTAAACTTGCCATGTGTATAGCTCCAACTAGCTTTCCTTCAGCTTCTAAGCCTGGCCTCATCAATTTTACTTACTTACTTACTTATTTATTTAAAGGTAGGGTCTTACTGTGTGGCACTGGCTAGACTAGCTAGCTTCAAAGTCAGAGATCCACTGCCTCCACCTCCCAAGAACTGAGATTAAGGGCATACACTACCATATCTAGCCATTTATTTATTTACTCATTTATTTATTTGTGTTTATTTATTTAATTTTGAGACAGGGTTTCTCTGTATATCCCTGGTTGTCCTGGAACTCACTTTGTAAACCAGTCTTACACAGAGACCCACCTGCCTCTGCCTCCAGAATGCAGGAATCAAAGGTATGCACCACCACTGCTAGGCCTGAACCAATTTTTAATCATAATGCAAATGTTATTTAATAAGTTTCTTTCCTATATTATGTTAGTACCTACTGCTTCTCAAAGTTATATACATTTTCTGATCCCCTAACAGGACTCTAAATACCTGTATATTGTTTCATAAAGCTATATTAAAATCAAGTTTTGCTTATACTTTTAACATATGGTGTAAATTTCCCAATATTCTTTTTTTGGATAGGGCGGAGAATACAGTAGATGTGATAATTTTCAATGCAGGGAAGGTGATATAGTCCTTAAAAAATATGTATATGTGTATATGTCAGGCACGTGTGGGTACTCAAGCAGGTCAGAAAAGGGTGTTGATTCCCCTGAAGCTGAAGTTAAGGACAGCTGTGAGACATGTGGCAGGCATGAGGGGCTCTTTGATTAAGTTGTATGAAATGATTAAGCTTATATTCTACTTTGTAAGTGTGACTAATAAAGTGAAATTGACAACAAAACATCACAGAAGATTTCACGTAACAAGAATATTAAAAATTGTACCTGACACCATATATAGATACTGATTTATAAATAGTATGAATAGAATGGGCTAATGGGCTAATCTGAAATTCTCTATTTCTTATCTCAAACATTCATTGAGGTACATAGGGTGTGTGTGTGTGTGTGTGTGTGTGTGTGTGTGTGTGTGTGTGTCTGTGTGTCTGTGTGTGTGTCTGTGTGTGTGTCTGTGTGTGTGTCTGTGTGTGTATGTGGACTCATCATTTTGGATAGTCTGGCTAGCCATCCTGCTCTGGTAATTCTCTTGTGCTGGGTTTATAGGCAGGCTGCTATGCTCTGGTCCTCAGGCTTTTAAGTGCAAGTACTTTACCCCCTGAGCCATTTCTTTTTCATTCTGTTACATAAGTTTGAGTAAGACTTCTAAAACAAAACAAACAAACAAAAAAATCACAACTTTAGAAACCTCAGGATAATAAAACTCTAGATTACATGAATGATCCATTATGAGATGATGACATTCAAGTATCAGAGAATGATTCTATGACCACCAGCTCCCAGAACTACTACTTGAAATTAAAATACATCCAATTTTCAGGTTCACAATGTACAGATTCATGAACAAAACTAGTAAGAGAAAAATCATAGCCAGTTTTGTTTTTTAAACAGAAAGCTTTAAAAAAACAAAAACAAAAACCTGTAAATGCTACCAGGAAGTGGTGATGCGCACCTTTAGTCCCAGCACTTGGAAGGCAGAAGGCAGGTGGATCTATGTGAGTTTGAGACCAGCCTGGTCTGTACAACAAGTGCCAAGACAGGCTCCAAAATTACACAGAGAAACCCTGTCTCGAAAAACCAAACCAACCAAACAAACAAACATAAATGCTTCTCTTTCCTGGATCAATTTATTTAGTTCCCAGGGGCAGACACTTTAAACATAAAAATGCAAATCTAGATAATTCAGAGATGGACACAGTCTAAGAGAAATTAATAATATTAATCACCTCTTTTTCCATAGCAGCTTGGTGTTTCTTGATAAGTTTCTCCATTTCTGCAGCAAAATTGTTACGCTGAGTTTCAAGATCTTTGTCTAATCTGAGACGGTGTTCATCCATCTCTGACTTTAGTTTATTTTCTAGAGTCATCAGCTGCTTTTGATGCTGCCGCCTCATCCTCTTGTAACCAGACATCTGTTCTCTAAGTTCAGAATCCTGCTCGTGCTCTTGCATCTGTCTTGTAACCTAGACACAAATTCAGAAAAAAAGACAAGAAAGCAAAACATTTTTCTTTCACAAGCATTTAGAAAGCTGGGCATGGTAACACAGGCCTGTAATCCTAGCATTTGTTTGGCAGAGAAAAGGAATCGACAAGAGCTCAAGCCTAGACTGGTAGTACTACTATACATAATGAGTCTAAGGCCAAGCCAAGCCCCTGACTCTACTAAACAAATAATAATGATAAAGCATTTAGAACATTACTATTACTTAAGGAGGTATTTAACTTAAAAAATTCCATTATAGTTCACAATTAAATTTTTAGATTTTTTAAAAAAGATAGTGGTTAAGGGCGCTGGCAGCTCTTCCAGAAGAACCTAAGATCAATTCCCAGCACCCCACATGGCAGCTCACAACTCTTCATCTCCAGGGGACCCGAAACCAGAAAAAAGAAAGAAAAGCATAGTTGATTCTAAAACTTATATGAAACCATACAGTATCTAGATTAGGAAAATAATACAGGAAAATGAGCATTATACTAGTCAAGACAGGACAGAACTAGTATAAGGCTAAACAAGCAGATCAAGAAACAAAATAAATCGGGATTACTGGCACATGCCTTTAATCCCAGCACTTGGGAGGCAGGGGTAGGTGGATCTTTGAGTACGAGGACAGTCTGGTCTATGGAGAGTTCCACGACAGCCAGGGCTACACACAGAAAATCTGTCTTAAAACAACCACCACCACAACAAAAACCCAAAACAAAACAACAAGGAGAATATGGTGGCACACACCTATGACCTCAGCACTTAGAGGCCAGCCTGGAGAGTTCCAGTATAGCCAGGACTACAGAGAGAAACTGTCTCAAATAACTGAAAAAAAAAAGATAAAGAAAGGAGGGAGGGAGGGAGAGAGGGGACTAACTAAATTAGAAACACCTGTAGAGAAAGGTATACGCTGAAAGCCTCAAATACTTGGAAAAAATCTGAAGTGGAAGATCACTTATACTAAAGAGTTTAGTCTAGCCCAGGCAAAAGACTGAATCACCATCCCAAAAAAGTAATGAACAACAAAAAACAAAACAGGGAAAAATGCACAAGATGGAACTTGAATGATAGTTGTAAGCTGTCAAGTGGTTGCTGGGAATTGAATCGTGGTCCTCTTAAATATTGAGCCATCTATCTCTGCAGCTTCAAGAAATGTGGTTTTTAACAAACTATAAAAACAAGTGGTTCTCAATGTAGAAAAAAAATTAACCTGACTCTCTTTATCACCATTTCACATTTTAAAAAATTATAGAAAAAGGGATGCTGAATAAGCAAGAGAAACTAAATTCCAGAATCCATGGTGGTGTATTCGTATAATCTGAGTGCTAAGGCAGCAAAGGTAGGTGGATCTTGAAATTTCTTAGCCCCCCAGTCTGGTCAAATTGACAAACTCCAAGTTCCAATGATAGAGGCTGCTTCAAAAACACAAAGAAACCCAAAAAATCATCCGAGGTAAATATAAAATCTACAACTGCAAAGCAAAGCAAAACTTTCTGTATGATCTATTGTTTTAGAATCCTTTATTTTTCAAGATTCATTTTAATCAAAAATACCCTAGTTTATGAGTGAGTGTTCTGCCTGCATATATGTGTGTGCCAATGATTCAGTGCTCCAAAAGGCCAGAAGGGGTGTTCTGTCATCTTTCCAATCCCTATTTTAACTCTTTAAAATTATGTGTGTGGGGAGGGGGAATGTGTATGCTAGTGTAGGTGTTCAAAGAGACCAGAGGTGTGATCAAGCGTTAGTCAGTTGTGAGCTGCCTGACAAAGTGCTGGGAACTAAACTTGAGTCTTCTGCAAGGTCAGTACACACTCCTGCACTACTCTCCCCCTCCCTCCTTGAACTAGCTTTGTAGACTATGCTGGTCTTAAACTCTCAAGACCTACTTGCTGAATGCCAGGATTAAAGGCATGAACCACAGTTAGCTACTTTCAAAATCTTTGACAATTTTTGATATTTTTTAACAGTGGGGATCTTCAGAGGAAGAGTAAGACTATCAAGGCAAGCATGCTTATGACTGTGGTCAGTATCCAGTATCCAAAGACGTTAGAACTCAGAGAAGTAGACAAGCTTAGCAGTGAAGATCTGCAAGCATGGCCAGAATAGGGTTTTAAATGTCTCATAATATATTAGTAATATAAAATAATTCATATTCTTTGTTTTTTTGGGAAATGAATAAAATATTTAGGGCATATTAATGCAATCAACTACATTTTCAAACAGTTCCCTCTTTCTTGGCTACCCTAACCATGTATCTTTTCCTTATTGTTACTTCTTACCTTTCCTGATCTTTTTTGGGGGACTGGGGGGTCAAGACAGGGTTTCTCTGTGTAGCCCTGGCTAACCTAGAACTCAAAGATATCGGCTTGTCTCTGCTTCCCAAGTGCTGGGATTAATGGTATATGCTACACCACTAGGCATTTCTTTCATCTCCCTTTTTGAGGCAGGGTCTCATTATGTAACTTTGGTTGGCTTGGAATTCTTTGTATAGGCCAGGCTTGCTTTGAACTCAGAGATCTACCTGCCTCTGTCTCCTGGGTGCTGGGATTAAGTTTGTGTTAACACATCTAAAATGTTAATTTTGTATGGCAATACACTGATTCTCTTCTCCTGTGCCTAAAACCTAACAACTTTAAATAATCAAACTATGTCACAAATGCTTCTTTTATACCACTAATCAAAACTAATTTAAAGCAAGCATGGTGGCATATGTACTCCTTTAGTTCCAGCATTCATCAGGCAGAGGCAGGTGGACCTCAGTGAGTTATAGTCCAGCCTGATCTACAAAGTAAGATGCTGTTTCAAAAAAACAAAAAATATTCAAATTTATCTGAATGGCTGTTTAGTATTTTGTAATTCTCTTAAGTATTCTAAAATATTTACTACATGAACAAATATCTCAAAGACATCACTAGTTTAATATTTCTTAGAGTGCTTTCTTCTAATAGGGAAATTAAATGTTGGATGTGTAAATTCTAAACACAGAAATAAAGAAAGTTAAATATATTTGAGTCCATATTACCAGCATAACAAAGAAACAGGTGAATACATACTAGTGATGCTGTTCGTATAGTTGCAAAGTGTTCTCTATTACGATAATGTGATTTGTGACGAGACCCTTGAGGTGGAGACTGTGGATCTGATGCTCTTGTTCTAGGATCTCCTTCTTCTCTGTAATTTTCCTCCTCCTTAAAAAAGAGACAGAGAAAATATTTTGTAAGGTGAAACATTTTTTGAGGTTTCCAGTTAAAAAACTAAAGATAATATTAATCAATAATCTCAAATAAAAACAATTTTACAAAGCAGAAAGAGAAACCAGAAATACTATTGTTATTTTCCCTTTTTTTCCCTCCCCCGAGATAGGGTTTCTCTGTTTTAGAGCCTATCCTGGCACTTGCTCTGTAGACCAGGCTGGCCTTTAATCCCAGCACTCGGGAGGCAGAGGCAGGCGGATCTCTGTGAGTTCGAGGCCGGGCTGGACCGACAGCCTCCAAAACAATATAGAGAAACCCTGTCTCATAAAACAAAAACAAAAGCAAACAAAAAAAAAAAAAAAAAAAAAAGAACTAAACTTTTGATCTGTAAACCAGCCCCAATTAGATGTTTTCCTTTATAAGAAGTGCCTTGGTGTCTCTTTACAGCAATAAAATCCTAAATACACACACACACACACACACACACACACACACACACACACACACACACACACACACACACTATATTTTCCTTATCCACTTATCTGTTCCCACTTTTTTTTTTTTTTTTTTTTTTTTTTTTTGGTTTTTCGAGACAGGGTTTCTCTGTATTATTTTGGAGGTTGTCCTGGAACTAGCTCTTATAGACCACGCTGGCCTTGAATTCACAGAGATCCTCCTCCTGCTTCTGACTCCCAAGTGCTGGAATTAAAGGCGTGTGCCACCACTGCCCATCTGTTCCCACTTTTTAATAATTGTGCCTAATAACTTCTAGATAATACCAGAAGCTGTAAAGCTAAAAAGATCATTCTTAGTTGCAGGGCCAGGAGGACTGCTGTGAGTTTAAGATCAGTCAATGCTATGCAAAAAAACTCAGTCTTTAAAAGATGGAAAAACTAAGAACATGTTTCCCCCCCCTCCCTCTTTTCAATTAAGATTTTCCTTGTGCAACAGCTCTAGTGGTCCTAGAACTTGCTCTTAGAACAGCCTTGCCTCAAACTTACCTGCCTCTGCCTCCAGAGTGCTAGGAGTAAAGGTTTGACAGAATATTTCTATATTAAGTTCTCCTGCCAAGAATTATCACACTTGTCTTTTTCCCTAGTGTTGAGACCCGAATCCAAGTTGACCAGCCTGCTCTGAATTGAACTCAGGATCACATGTATGCTAGGCAAGCATTCTATCACTATGTTGCACAGTCATTACTACAAAAGTTGTTACTAGTTCATTATTTATAATCAACTCTCTCATTTTCTAATTGCAACTATTCATAAATTTCAAATATATACTCTTGCTACTTTCAAATTTTCTAATCAAAGGTTATGTGGTGTATCTGTATTTTTATTCTACAATAGTTTCATTATCATCTTGTATTTAATAACAGTTTTATCCAAATTCAGGTAACAGATCAAAAATTCAGGTCATTGCTTTGGAGAACAAAAATGATCTAAAGTTTGTTTGTTTGGGCATGGGGTGGGAATGGAGATGTTTGTCCTCTAAATTTATTTATTTAAAAAAATTTTGGGGGGTTTTATGAGACAGGGTTTCTCTGTAGTTTTTGGAACTCACTCTGTAGACCAGGCTGGTCTTGAACTCACAGAGATCCGCCTGCCTCTGCCTACCAAGCGCTAGGATTAAAGGCGTGTGCTGCCACCCCTGCCACCACCCGGCCCAACCCTGACTTTTAAAGGCAAACAATTATCTGTACATTTTGAATGCAGGTGTTTATAGGGTCCAGAATAGGGCATTATACCCTTGGAACTGGAATTATACATAACTGTCACACACCTACTTGTTGTGAATGCTGAGATCAAACCTAAGTGCTCTGGAAAGGCAAAATATAACATATGATCTTAACCACTGAGCCAGCTCTCCAGCACACCAAAAGTGTTTTTTTTTTCCTTTTTTTTCCTTCTTTTTTAAGAGTAATGGCAGCACACAGGATCATATGTAGCACTGGATGGCTTCAAATTTACTATATAGCTGCCATCTACTATAAGCAGCCCTTGAATTCCTGGTCCTTCTAAGTGCTGGGATTCTGATGTGCTACCACATCCAGATTCCAAACTTCTTCAACTTCAAAGAAAATCTCTTGAAGAAAACGATGGGTCAAAGTTGAGGTCTTTTGTTTTTTTCCTACCCCAGAGAAATGCAAATACTTACAGGTTTTAAGTGGATAACAGAACTGTTAGACATCACTGTATGGTCTCCCTCCATCATGTCTAGCTCACTCTTGTCATCTGAGGCATCTGGAAGACTGTTAACACTGCTGCTTTGGCTGCTGGCACTGATAGACATACTGGGAATGGACTGATTACTTCCAACACTATTCACTGTTCCTGTCCGGCCAACACCATGCTCTTGTTCCTAAAGGAAAAGAGCATTAAATTAAAATACCTAAATTTTTTCCCAATTATACATTAAAGAAGAAGAGAGGCCTGATGAACACAAACAGGTTTCTTTAGTAAGTAAATAAAAAACAAACAAACCAATTAATAAATAAAAGGGTTGGGTAGAAAGTATATAACAGCAAGATTTTTTTTTTCCCTTAGCTCAGGACCAAAACTAGGGCCCTACTGAGCTAAATCCCAGACCCCTACATTAACAAGATTAAAGATCTTTGTTTATAACTAGAATTTCAGAGAATCAATGGTAAGAGCACAGTATATTGGGACCAGTGATATAAAAAAGTATGCTTGATTGGACAAGGAGCATATGCAATCAATAAGTCTAACTAAAATTTGTGTTATTGTGGGGAATTATACCTCTTCTTCTTCCTGTGCTTCTACTGCTGGTCCATTATGTGCCTCCTGGAAAAGGAGTTTCTTCATCTTGCGATACTGCAGATTGTCCAGTTCTCTTACTGCATCCTTTGTCCTTTGAATAAGATCTATTAACACTGTTTCTGGGCGCTCTCGAAGAACAAACATGTGCTGCAAGGGTAGAAAATAAAATAGGTTACTTTTTTCCCAATTAGTTCAAATTTCTTTCTCACAATCTATAGTTGTTACCCTATAGTACACAATTCATACAATCTATAGTTATCTAATTCTATTACATCTATGACTTGATACTTAGAAGTAGTCATTTCTACATTCAACTTGTGCCTACATAAATACACTTGAATAAAATTCTCACCATGATACATTTAGTTGGTCAATGAAAATACAGTTGAAATCATCAAGGCATATAAATTCTAAGAAAATCCATGACTGATTATAAGCTATGCTTGATTTAAGTAGGAAACTTTACTGACAGTAAATTAATAATCAGAACCTAGACATTATGGATTTCTTTTTCTTGAGACAGAGTTTCACTATGATAGTCAATGCTGGTTTTGAACTTGTTATCCTCTTAGTGCTGAAATACAGGCATAAACAGCCATGCTCAGACTATCAAAATGTGTTCCTAGTGTGAATGTACAATTGGTCAGGCTTTTATTTATGAGACCATAGGTGAGCTTACTCCCTAGAAGTACAAAAGTAGTATAGAATTTTTTTTACTATTTTTCTATATATTCTGATTATAAATAATATTATCATATGTGTATTTGTTGTAGTTAAATTTAGCTGACACTTTAGAGTGAAAAAAATCTACCTGTTTCAAAATTCTGAAACACTAATATAAAAATAGTTCGTATAAATCTTGTGGAAATAACTCCTAGTTACAGTCAAGTTCTCATTATTTCCTAGTCATCATGCTTTCTTTCTTTCTCTCTTTCTCGCATTCATTCATTCATTCATTCTGTTCTGAGACAGGGTTTCTCTATATAGTTCTGGCTGTCCTGAAACTTACTCTGCAAACCAGGTTGGCCTCAAGCTCAGAGAACCACCTGCCTCTGCCTCCTGAGCACTACCACTGCCTGGTAATGTTTTTCATTTTTATTTTATGCATATGAGTATTTTGTCTATATGTGTCTTGTGCAGCAGGTGCATACAGTACTCTCAGAGGACAGAAGAGGTACTCTAGTTGTGGGTGCTGGGAATCAATTCCAGGGTCCTCTAGAAGCAGTCAATGCTCTTAAGCACTGAGCCATTTCTTCAGATCCTAATCAAGATATTTTAAGAGAGATGGGGATGTAGTATTCACCTAGGATTCACAATGTCTTTAATTAAATCCTAGTTCCCCATAAACAACGTATAGCAGAGAACACAGTACTTGAGATGTAAGATCAGCAGTTTAGAGATCATTCTCAATTACACAGCAAAAGTTCAAGGCCAGCCTAGGATACATGAGATCCTGCTCAAAAACAAGATGCTTTAAGAACCATATTAAACAGACTGTGGTGGTGCACACTTTTAACCCCTGCACTGGGGAGGCAGACAGGAGGAGCTTTGAAAATTCAAGGCCAGCCTGGTCTATATTTTGAATTCCAAGCCAGTCAAGGCATGATGAGACCTTGGGTCAAAATAAATAATACAGGAAAACACTACATTAAAAATCAATAAAAACTATTATACTATTACCAGTATTAATTAAATGGTAAAAACTCAAACGAAACACTTTTTTGAGAATGGCCAGTTAAATATAATAGAGTGTGTGTGTGTGTGTGTGTGTGTGTGTGTGTGTGTGTGTGTGTGTGTGTGTGTTTCCCTATGTAGCTTTGGAGGCTGTCCTGGAACTAGCTCTGTAGACCAGGCTGGCCTTGAACTCACATAGATCTGCCTGCCTCTGCCTCCCAAGTGCTGGGATTAAAGGCGTGCGCCACCAACGCCGGCAAAATATTTTTTTTTTTGTTTTGTTTTTTGAGACAGGGTTTCTCTGTAGCTTTGGAGGCTGTCCTGGAACTCACTTTGTAGACCAGGCTGGCCTTGAACTCACAGAGATCCGCCTGCCTCTGCCTCCCGAGTGCTGGGATTAAAGGCGTGCGCCACCAACGCCTGGCTTAGAGTGTATATTTTAAAATATAATACTGTAAATGAAATTTTTGTGAGAAAGGAGTATGCATGAGCGTGGTGCACACATATCTATGTGGAGGTCAGAAGACAGCCAGTTTGAGAGTCAGTTCTCTCCTACAATATAGGTTCCAAAGACAGAACTCAGGTCTTCAGGCTTGGTGGCAAGTGCTCATCTTGTCAATCTACACAGTTTTTATATTTCATTGTTAAATGAGATAATTTGGATGCTAGCATCCACAACAAGCTGAAGTGCCTACAAATGGAGGCACAATAGGGCTTGCTAGCTTATAGCCTAGCTGAGATCCTGCCTCAGAAGAATCTCCCCTCCCTCTCTCTCACTTTAAAAAATACAGTATCTAAGGCAAGTTACCAGGGCCAGGGGCGTGGCTTGATTGGGAAAATGCCCGACTACTAGTCTCAAGTCTTGAGTTCAAAACCCAGAATCACAGACATAAGTTTCAAGAGTAATAATATAGAAATATTAGTATTTTTAGCTAGTGGGTTGTTCGTGCAATCACTTAGGAGGCAGAATCAGGGGGATCTCTGTGAATTCAAGGCCAGGTCTATATAGTAATTTTCAGGACAGTCACAGCTACTCAAAAAACAAAAACAAAAAACTAAACAAACAAAAAAGGCTGGGAAAAATAGTTGAATGGTAACAGTACACGCTTAACATTTAGTCCTATTTGAGTGCCAGCACTGGGGACAGGGGAATGGCGGGGAGTGGGGACAGGACAACAAAAACTTTTAAATTATTGTTTTTAAACAATGAAGCCTTTATTACCCATGTTTATTATTTACGGGAGGGGGCACAACATAAACACATATGCTTAAACCAGTTCTCTCCTTTCACCATGTGGATTTCAGGAATTCAATGCAGGTTGTTAGCTTTGGAAACAAGTGCCATTACTGAGCTATCTTACTGGCCCCAAATTTAGTATTTTAATAAAAATTAATATAGTCAATCCTGATTGAGAAATAAACAACAAAGCATTTCAAAATCCTTAAAGGTTAAAAACAGTTTTACAAACTGACCTTTAAAAGTTCCTCTGATGTAGGGCGATCTTGAGGAATTTTCTGGAGGCAAGAATCTACAAAGTTGCGAAAATAATCAGACCTATTGTAAAGAAAGTATCAAGTGAAAAAATTGCTATTTCCTTTAAAAAACACATCCAAAAGAGAACAAGCCTGCTCAGGGGAGGAAAAATGGAAAATAAATGGTAATATAATTTCATCTATTCAAAGTGATCTAAAGCAACCAATGATTCTTTTAGCATTTCCCAAAAATAGATTTACAGAGATCATTTAAAAATCCTAAGATGGGGGTATAGTGCCATGGTATATATTTGGCTAGGGAAAAAAAAAATCCTGTTCTACATATTTACCTATCAGAAATCACTCAATATTGAGTCAAAAGGAAGAAGGGCCATGCAGAGTTCCTCCTCATTCACATATGCTTTCCCACACTCTTTCCCTTTCTTTAGGTATCTTATTGAACTTTGGATTGCTTCCAATAGAACGTGTTTTAGGACATAACTCTTATTCCCTCTTAAGTAGAGCATTTTGTTGTTGTTCTTTTTTTCAAAATAGGTCTTTTCTGTGTAGTCCTAGAACTCACTCTGCAGACCACAGAGGAAAAGACCATTTTTAAACACCTGAGCAATTGCTGCTCCTCACCAAAAAGACTTCCTTAAATAAAGACACATTTTTTTTTTTTTTTGGTTTTTCGAGACAGGGTTTCTCTGTGGCTTTGGAGGCTGTCCTGGAACTCACTTTGTAAACCAGGCTGACCTCGAACTCACAGAGATCTGCTTGCCTTTGCCTCCCAAGTGCTGGGATTAAAGGCGTGCGCCACCAACGCCCGGCCAAGACACATTTTTAAAATACTAAAAGCCTATAATGTATTATTCATGGGAGCTCAGTGATCACCCAATAAATAATTACTCCATCAATGTTTAGCTCCAATATTAAAAGGGTAACACTTTTTTTTGTTGTTGTCATTTGTTTTTTGAGATAGGGTTTCACACTATAGCTCAGGCTGGACCTGAACTTGGAGCAATCCTTCTGCCTAATCCTCCTATAGGCTGAGATCATTAGACTTGTTTTTCATTGCACAATTGGTCACAAGTAAGCATTTACCTTACCTCCTCTTAGGAGAGACCTCAGGCAATGGGCTTTTATATAACGTTGGAGGTATTTAGAGGCTATGAAAACTTTCAGAGATGGAATAATACATTTTGCATTATGAAATGAATGAAGATGAAACTTTAGGGCAAAGAAATGTAATGTTGACAAGGGATAGAATAGTCATGGTTAATACTATCAACTGGACAGAATTTAGACTCACCATGGAAACACACCTCTGAGTGGGTCTATGAGGGTGCTTCCGAAAGGTTAAACTGAGGAAGACCCACTCTGAATTAAGATGGCACCATCTTATGGGCTGAAGTCCCAGACTAAATATATAGGTCAAAGCAAGCAGGCTGCAGGATTCATCTCTTTCCAGTTCTTCACTGAAGACACAATATATCAAGTTCCTACCACCATACCTCCCCTATCATGATGGACTATATCCTCAAACTGTGATCCCAAATAAACTCTTAATTCTTTAAGTTGCCTTTTGTTAGGTAAATCGTTACAGAAATGAGAAATGTAACTAATGCAGAATTTTTTCAATACATAACAATTCTAGTCTAAGCTTGTAAATCTCTTCTCCATATACAACTTTATATGAAGTTTTATCAAATTAAAGACCATACACCAGAAGAAAATCAGAGCAATGAGTATAAGAAAGTTAGCGAAAGTGTTTCCAGGGTTTTAAATAACCTAAAAATTTTGAATCAAACCATTTTACCTATGTCTTATACAATATAAATGATAATCTATTTTTCAAACAATGATCACAACAGGTTACAACAAGCTATGTATTTTAGCTATAAAAATTAATGCTTACAAATGCTATTAAATTATTAGGGCTAATATGTGCTCCTAAAATTTAATGAAAAAGTAAACCTACTTTCTTTTCAGGTAGTACATTTACTTACATAACATTAAGCCATCTTGATAATGGTTTATATTTTATCAATATTTACAAAATTTTCAAAATGTTAATCAATATCTTGTGGGAATACTCACCATTCATTAGACTGTAGTGTAGGGGATTCATTTTGGGCTATGTGATATAAGGCACTCATTGCATTCATATTAAATAAAGGAGGCTTCCTCTCCGCTATAAAAGAGAGGAAACTTTTCTGTTAAAATGCAAATATATAAGAATAATAAAACGTTGATCAAGTTTTTAAGAACATATTTTGAAAACAACCCTAATGTTAACAAAAAATTGTTGTAAAAAGACACCCCCCCTTGAGACAGGATTTCTAGGTAACAGTCCTGGGACTTGATTTGTAGACCAGGCTGGCGTTGAACTCACCGGGATCCACTAGCCTCTACCTCCCAAATGCTGGGACTACAAAGAACTTTTTAAAAAATATTTATCTATTTATTTTATGTATATGAGTGACCTGTCTTCATGCACACCAGAAGACAGAATCAGACAGACCCCATTACAGATGGCTGTGAGTCACCATGTGGTTGCAGGGAACTGAACTCAGGACCTCTGGAAGAGCAGTGACCTTAACTGCTGTGCCATTTATTCAGCACATACAAAGAACTTTTTAAGGAGAATCAATTGAGATAAACTACTTGCTCTGATGGCCCAACATCCCTAAACACTTCAATATACAATAACATTTTTATTAAAAAACACATGCTATGCATTAAATTATACCACCTAAATGGTGTTAAAAGTCACCTGAGCCGGGCGTTGGTGGGGCACGCCTTAATCCCAGCATTCAGGAGGCAGAGGCAGGTGGATCTCTGTGAGTTTGAGACCATCCTGATCTACAAGAGCTAGTTCCAGGACAGCCTCCAAAGCCACAGAAAAACCCTGTCTCAAAAAACAAAAAACAAACAAACAAAAAAAAGCCACCTGAGACCAAACCCCAATAACTTTTAGTTCCAAAACCACAATAATGCCATATGTAGCTTTAATCATTTGTGCCTGTCAAAGGAATAAATCCATCATACTGAGTCCTCAAATTTAGACAGAAAACTATTCATATATTCATACTATTTTTTTTGAGGGGTGCCCATGGCTATATATGCCTTTGCATATGGATTGGTGTCTACCTGTATTGTCTTAACACAGGTCTTTTTTTTTTTTTTTCCTGGACAGGGTTTCTCTGTGTATCTTTGGAGCCTGTAGACCAGGTTGGCCTTAAACTCACAGAGATCTGTCTGCCTCTGCACCCCAAATATCAGGAATAAAGGTGTGAGCCGCCGCCGCCGCCGCCACCACCACCACCACCACCACCACCACCACCATCCCCCAGCTTTTTCCCCCTCTTCAAAAAAGGGTTTCTTTGTGTAGCATTGGCTGTACTGGAACTAGCTTTGGATACCAGGCTGGCCGGCTGGCCTCAAACTCAGAGATCCACCTGTCTCTGTTGAGCTTAAAGGTGCATTCCACCACCACCTGGCAACATGGGGTCTTTTATGAACTAGAAACCTGACTGGCTAGTTTGGCTGGCTAGCAAGTTCTAGGCACTTGTCTGTCACTCTCAGTGCTAGGAGTACAGCCATCCCCAGATATTGACATGATGGGTGCTACAGATTTACACTTGGGTCATGTTTATAAAGCAATTGCTCGTATCCACAGAGTCACCTTCCAAAGCTCTCTATTTTCGTTGCTACTTTTAAATTCCCTGTTTCTGTCTGTATAGGGGCATGTGTACAAGTAGGGATATCCATAGAAATCAGAAGAGGGTGTCAGATCTCCTAGTGCAGTAAGAGCTCTTAACTGCTGAGGCATCTGTCTAGTCCCTACATAATCTTTTAATAATCAATAGTAATTTTTACTTCTCATTCAAAGCCCCTACCTAGCCGGGCGGTGGTGGCGCATGCCTTTAATCCCAGCACTCGGGAGGCAGAGGCAGGCGGATCTCTGTGAGTTCGAGGCCTGGCTGGACCAACAGCCTCCAAAACAATACAGAGAAACCCTGTCTCATAAAACAAACAAACAAAAAAAAAAAAAACAAAAACAAAAACAAAAACAAAAAAAAACAAAGCCCCTACCTTTGATCTTAATTTTTAGACAAGATCTCATGCTATAGTCCAAGTTATCCTGTAATTCACTATGTGGCCGACCTGACTCCAAACCATGGTGATTCACCTACCTTCAGCTTCCCAAGCCTTGAGATCATAAATGTGATCTATCACACCTGCCTTCTCTCATTTCTAATATTAGACATTTGTATCTTCTTTTTTTTTAACCAAAATGGAAAAAGGGTTATCAATTTTAATGATCTTCGTAAACAATTAGATTTTTAGTTTCAATGTTTTTTTATTTTTTCAATTTTCTGCTTAACTAAATTTTTATTTTGATCTTTATTATTCTATCTGTTTATCCTGAGTTCAGATTATTCCCTTTTCTACTTTCTAAAAGTTTGGGGTGATGGCTAAGGGAGTAGAAGTATTTGCCACCATGCCTAATAATCTGAGATCAATCCCCAAAACCCACATGATGGGAGGACAGAAAAGATTGATATTTTTGATATCAGAAGAGGGTGTCAAGTCCCCTGGCACTGGAGTTACAGGCAGTTAGTTGTAAGACACCTGAAGTCAATGCTAGAAATTGAAGTCTGGTTCTCTGCAAAATCAGCAAGGGTTCTTAACAGTCAAATCATCTCTCTGGCCCATTTTTACATAGTCTCAATTAAAGGACACATGCATAAACTTAAGAGGCACATACAACACATTTCTTTCCACACCATTATTAAAAATAATATCCAAGTGTGGCAGTACACGCCTTTAATCCCAGCACTTGGGAGACAGTCAGGCAGCCTCCAAGACAGCCAGGACTATACAAAATCCTGTCTCAAAATATCGAAATGAAGTGGGGAGGGAGGGAGGGAGGGAGGGAGGGAGGGAGGGAGGGAGGGAGGGAGGGAGGGAAGGAGGGAAGGAAGGAAGGAAGGAAGGAAGGAAGGAAGGAAGGAAGGAAGGACTATTATAAGGAAAGAGGAAAGGATTACTGAAGATATTTGGAATGAATGGAAGAACAATCAATTTCTGTTACTACTGAGGTCTTCAATTAGGCAAATTCAACTAACCTCTATTCTCATCTCTTCTGGGTTTTATAGTCTAGGATAGGTTCAAACTTGCTTACGTAGCTAGGGATGACTTTGAATTTCTAATCATCCTGACTCATTCTTAGTTGTGTATGTTTCAGGGGAATCAAACCCTGAGCTTTATCACTCTAGGCAGGCAATCTACCAACAGAGAAATATCTAGTTCTTCAACTGACATGTCTTTTTTTTTGTTGTTGTTGTTGTTTTGGCCGGGCATGGTGCTTCACACCTTTAATCCCAGAATTCCAGAGGCAAAGGCAAGAAGATCTCTGTAAGTTCTAGGCCTGGTGTACAGAGGGAGTTGCAGGACACCAGTGCTGTTACACAGAGAAACTCTGTCTCAACAAACAAACAAACAAACAAACAAACAAACAAACAAACAAAAAGAAGTAACTAACATAAGAAACCATTTATGGATAGTAAATATGGTTATATTAGGTACATTCTAAGTGTTAATCATTAATTAATGTCAGACATAGATATTTAAGACCACAGTGAAAAATTATTTCAGAACTAATTTAATAGCAAATATATTTAATATAACACATACTAGGTGAATATAGAAATTATCAGATGATCAAAGCAAAAGCTTTAAATGATTTATTTTTCCCCTTAACTCAGAGGCTGAAGAGGTGGCACAATGGTTAAGAAAATTGGCTACTTTTCCAGAAGACATGAGTTCAATTCCCAGCACCCATACAGAGGTTCAGAATCTTCGGCAACTACAGCCCCAGAGAATCCAACACACTTTCTTGTGGTCTCCCTGGATACCAGCACACGAATGGAACTCAGACACACATGCAGACAAAAATACCCATACAAACAACATAACCAAGTATTTTTTCAAAAAAATTGTGATCTAAGACAAAAATCTAATTTAATAAGGTAACTGAAATAAAACACTGGATCAAAATTTAATTCAGCTAGGTGTGGTGGCTTACACTTTTAATATTAACATTCAGGAGGCAAAGGCAGATGTGTCTCTGAGAGTTTGAGGCCAGTCTAGTCTATAAATCAAGTTTTAGGCCAGCCAAGGCTACACAGTGAGATCCTATCCAAAAAAAAAAAAAAAAAAAAAAAAAAAAGGGTAAAAAACAAAAACAAAAAAAAACCATGCTTACCTAATTCAATACATGTTATTCCAAGAGACCATACATCAACTTTGCCATCATACTGTCCTTCATCCATGGCTAAAATTACTTCTGGGGCCATCCTAAAACATATAATATTCAATCAACTTAGAAGTTTGAGAATGTAAGTACCATCAACATAAATAACATTGGATTGACCTCCAGCCAATATATGTAAACATAAAAATTTTTGCAATGAGAAACAAATCAGAAGTTGTGACATGCATATTTAGCAATACTCAGAAAACATGATGCTCATTCTTACCATCTGTCATGATCATTCAACAACATTCCAAAAGAAAATCCCAAAGCAGTGCTATCTCAGAATTTCATTACAAAATTCTAATACTTGCTTGAAATATTGAAATTTACTATGGGCAACAAACACTGTCAGTTGTTTTACCTGAAATGAAAAGGAAGGCCCAAGGCCTAGACATAAAATTGTATCCTGAACTTTTAGAAACTGAACAGTCACAAATGTCTCAAGTATGCTTTTGACTTCACATGGCAGAGCAATGTATCATTGAAACAAGTCTTTCTTTTATAAAATAAGAAGGGAAATTTCAAACACACACACACAAAAAAGATGTAGTGAACCAAGCAAGGTACTAATTTTAGAATATACAAAGGTGACAGAAGTTTAAATATCGGAAAAATTATTTCCTTCAAAATTTCAGTGACAGATACATATAAAATCATTTACAGAACAGAGCAGATATTACCTAGAATTTCAATTAAAAAAAAATACCCGGGGTAGAAAGTAGAAAGGGCAGAATTAATCATGTGATAAGGTTATTGGGCTGGATGGGTAGGTGAGATGAAAGTTGTCATCATACTTCTATTTTTATGTACACCTGAAATACCTGAAGCAGAAAATTCAAAACAACAAAACCCCTCCAATTCAGCTGCCAGTCTAAGTAGCAATACAAAGTAAATCTGCTTTCATAAAACAGAAGCAAGAGATCAGGGATACACATCACCCCCAACTAAATAAGGAGTTTAAAGCCAGCCAGAGCAACAGGAGACAATGTCTCAAAAAGGAGTGGTGCTATAGCAGCAGATATGGCTCAGCAGTTGTAAGCACCTGCTGCTCTTCTGGAGGATCTCAGTTTGATTCCCAGCATCCACATCAGGATGCTCATGTGTATAATCACCTGTAACTCCAGCCCTAAGGGCTCTGGTGCCCTCTTTTGGCACAAGGGTATCCCATACATGTAGCACACATGCACAAAGACACACACTTCTCAAAGTTATTAGATATAAACATAAAGTAAAAAATATCTAAAATGATAGTATATTTTTAGGAAAATGATGCCTTAGAAAGTTATTTATCAGCATCAATACCAGATAAAACTATTCTTACCAATATGGCGTTCCCACAAAAGAATTGGCAGGGGAGGCCATGGAAGCAGATCCAAAGTCGGCAAGTTTCACCTGGCCTGGTTCTGTCAGAAGGATATTTCCTGCTTTAATATCTCTGGATTAAGGGACACAGAAAATTAGTTAACTTCTCTTCACTAGGTTGTTTTAAAAAATATTAAAACCAAAAATGTAAGACAGTAGAAAGGAAATACAAAGCAATTGAGTACTGCAATACTTTCACACTGTGATAATAAGATTAGGCAACCAAAAAAAGTAAAAATATAGTAACAATTAAGAGAATAGTTAACAAGACAAAATAAGTAGGCAACTTTATCACATTGCCTGTGTTTGAGCCTGTTTATCAGTATGAACAAGGGCTTTGAAATATAACAATAATCGTTTCGTTATTTCATAAGATTTCTAAGTATCCCTGTTAACATTTTTTTTTCTTCCAGTTTGTCTGAGATAAGGTCTCTCTTTGTAGCCCTAGTGTCCTAGAACTCATTGTGTATACCAGGCTGGCCTAAAATTCACAGAGACCCGACAGTCTCTGCCTCCAAAGTGCTAGGATTAAAGGCATGCACTAGCACCACCTGGTTTTAACCCTATCTTCCAAACTTGGTTTATATAGCAAAAGAATTACCCCATTATCAAGATCACATAGTTCTTGGTTAAATGTGAGATGAAGACTGAAGCACATGGATATTATACCATCAATGGTCCCAAATCAAGCTATTTGAATATTACAAAACAGAAACATATGTTCCACAGATGCTAGAATACATACTTAACTTTTTAAAACTCACAATAGAAAAAAAAAAAAAAAACAAGTTTGTAAGACTTACTGATTCTTGTTATAGAACATTTAATACTGAGTATAATACACTTTTATGTGTCATTTTTAAATGGAAAAGTACTCTCTCCCTGCCCATTGTGATTATGTTTGTGTGTTTGTGTATGTGGTGCTAGGGATTAAATCCTAGGCCTCTTCATAGTGAGGTATATTGGAGATGAGAAAACATATTCCAATTCTGTCACTCAACTAAAAATAACGATAATCCACTAACTCAAAATGACTGTATTACATAGTTTAATATTTACTGTCTGGATCACATAATTTTTTTAAGGCTAATATCTATCTGAAACAACAAAACTAATAGCAGTGCTAAAAACTGCATCAAATGTTTTTTGTCCATACCATAAAATCAATGGAATAAATGTGCCATTATCAGTTATCAGGAAGACAAAAGAGCCATTAAATTCATGCTCTAATCTATTTGGCTTCGCAATCTTGGGGAAATTATAGTAACAAATTAGAGCATCAATTGTCCAAGAAGAAAGACAGACTCTATGGTCCCTAATATAGCCCTTCCGGTTTGCAAATTAGGTAATTCTACAATTAGGTTCCATAAACAGAGCAACACACAGGCAAAATTAAAATTATTCTAAACAGACACATGTATACTATGTTCTTTCTAATATGTCAACAGTCTAAATAGTATTGAGTTTACATAATTCTTTTATCTAAAGTAAATAAAAAAATTCAGAGACATAATTGTAGGGGTGATAAATTCAACAAACCACTTGCTTGTCAACATATGATAGGTTTCAAATCACTTACCTATGGATCATGGTATGAGAATGTAAATAAGCTAATCCCTGGAGAGCACCATGTGTAATTGCTGCTATTTCCACTTCTTGTAATGGCTTTTTATGAACTGAGAAAAGAAATTTATTTGAAAGTAATCACAGAATATTCTTGTTTATAAAATATATATATATGGATAACAAGACAGGTTAGTGGGTAAATATGCAAGTCTAAGGATCTGAGCTCAAGGCCCTAAACCCACATAGTGGAAGGAAAGAACCAACTCCTTCAAGTCATCCTCTATCTCCCACACATGCACTGTGGTACACACGTACATAAATGCAGACAAACACATACACACATAATATAAAAATACCTATTTCTAGATGAATATACAAAATGACACACTGGTAGTTTGTTTTTTGGTCATACCCCCGACCACCCTCCCCTGTGTCTGAGCTACACAGTTAGTTCCAGGGCCTTCAAAGGCTTCATAAAAAGACCCTGCCTCAAATTTGCTTTTCTTATTTTTATCTATCTACAGTTTTCTCACACAGGGTTTCTCTGTGAAGCTCAGACTGCTCTGGAACTTACTCTGAAGACCAGGCTGGTCTCAAAATAAGAGATCCACCTGTTTCTGCCTCCTGAGTGTTAGGATTAAAGGTATGTGCCACCATTGCCTGGCTTCAAAATTAAACAACCAAAAATCAATAACCAAAGTTAGCTTACCTTCTAATAAATCTGAAGCAGAACCCAAACAATACTCCATTACTAGCTGCACGAGGAAAAAAATATAAATGCATTAAAATACATTATAAAGACTTATTCTATTTGAAATAAATATGAAGTCAAGAAAACCGTCAGAAGTAAAACAAACTCAAGCCATCTTCTACATTTACAATACAGTTATACATTCAGTAATTTGTTAAACTAAGCCAATGGTTCAGGCATGGTGACACATGCCAGTAATCACAGCACTTGGGATGCCAAGGCAGAAAATATGAGGCAACATGAACTATACAGTTCCAGGGTAGCCTAGGCTACACACTAAACTGTGTCTTAAAACTATCAAACAAAATTTAAGCCAATAATAACACTTGTCTTCTAATAATTTAACATGAAACCAATGTAAGTTGTATATTACAAACATACTTTCCTCCATAAAGTCATTTAAAATGATATGTAATTACATCTATAAATAATCCTATTCTTACAATACAGTTTCACAATTCTCCATAATAAGTGATATTTAGCCAAGGAATCATGTCATTTCAAATTTCACCAGGATGCATCACAACTTCATAAGGATCTTTGTACTTCAATATAGCAACACACATTTATGCAAAAAGGTATGTTTACTTCCATTCCCAAATAATGGTACTGCTCTTGAGATGCTGAGTTGATATTCTTTAAGTTATGAATGAACTCTGGATAAGTCTTGAAAAGTTGTTTTATCTGGTAAGAATTACAAGAATACTGTTCTTCTGCTTCCAGGATGAACTAACCTTTCAAGTCAAATGTTAAAATGTCTGAGACATTTATAAGTTATGCTAAACCAAAAGTAATTAATTTATAATAAAAGAACAAATACCAACCCATGCGGTGTGTTCCCGTAAATAGCAGCCTTTATATTCTATACTGTTGGGATGTTTTATTCTCTGTAGAAACTTGACTTCCTTAATAATATCCTGCCATTTCTATGTGGAGGGGAAAAAAAAGGGAACAGGAGGAAGAATTATTAACAGCTGATTTTACTTGGAAAGATACATAAGAAAAAACTAATTACTATATTTAAAAAGATTGGAAGAACATACAACTTTATGATGTATACTAAAAATGTCAAAATAAAGTTTAAGATAATTATACTCAGTCCACTACTTTAATTATGTAAGATATGAAACATTTAAGGACAAATTCAGTTTAATAATATTCAAAACTCAATGAGTTTTATAATCAAAGGCTAACAAGATGGCTTTGAAGTTAAAAGCACTTGTTGCTCTTCCAGAAAACCTGAGTTCAATTCTTAGTACCCACATGGCAGGTTATAACTGTCTGTAAATCCATTTTACAGTGATCCATCCTTTTCTGGCCTCTAGAGGCACCAGCACACACAGGTATACAAACATACATACATACAGGCAAATACTCATGCACATAAAAATAATCCTAAATCATAACAATCAAGCACAACAATGATATCACACATGGGTTTTCTTTCCCTCAGAAGTAGAACCTTTTTATTTTTTTTCAATAAGATTATTTCTAAATTATTAAATAAAATTAATTTTTAAAGATTTTTTAAATTATGTATACAGTGTTCTGCATGCATGTATGCCTGTAGGCCAGAAGAGGGCACCAGATTTCATTACAGATGGTTAAGGCATAAAGTGGTTGCTGGGAATTGAACTCAGGACCTAACTGTCGAGTCATTTCTCCAGTCCAATTTTATTAATTTCTTGAGCATTTCATAAAATGTATTCATCTCTGTACCTTGTACATTCCCCACATTCACCCCACCTCTCTACCCGGTCAATTTTGTGTTCCCTCTCTTGCTTTAAAACTCATCCAGCGCCAGGCGGTAGTGGCGCACGCCTTTAATCCCAGCACTCAGGAGGCAGAGGCAGGCGGATCTCTGTGAGTTCGAGGCCAGCCTGGTCTACAAAGCGAGTTCCAGGACAGCCTCCAAAGCTACAGAGAAACCCTGTCTCGAAAAACCAAAAAAAACAAAACAAAAAAACAACAAAAACAAAAAGAAAAACAACAACAACAAAAAACTCATCCAGCTTGGCGGTGGTGGCATATACCTTTAATGCCAACACTTAGGAAGCAATAATAGGTGGATGTCTGAGTTGGAGGTCAGCCTGGTCTACACAGTGAGTTTAAGGACAGTCAGGGCTACACAGAGAAACCTTGTCTTAAAAAACCAATAGAATAAAACAAACAAACAAAAGACTCATCCAGTTCAACTTGTGCTACTCAAATACTTTTGGGTGTTAGACCTACCCTAGAAAGGGTTGACCTACCAGAGGGCACACTCTTTTTCTTTCTTTCTTTCTAAAAATAATTTGTTTAACTTTATGTGCACTGGTGTGAAGGTGTCAAATCCCCTGAACCCAGAGTTACAGTTTTAAACTGCCTTGTGGGTGCTGGGGATTGAAACCAGGTCCTCTGGAAGAGCAGTCAGTACTCTTAACCACTGAGCCATCTCTCCAGACCCCAAGGGGACCACACTCTTAAAGAAAACTGACTCTACTTCCTCCAGCAGCAATCAATTGTCACCACCTCTTTTGGCCTTCCTGGGCACCAGTCACATATGTGGGGCACAGAAATATATACAGGCAAAATATCCATATACATATAGTTTTAAAAAATGCTAATGGAATACTTATGAAAGGTAACCAAAAAAAGGAGTATAATAACCATTTTCCTACAGATTCTGCTAAGATCCTTCTCTCACAAGTATCAGATAACATTTAGGGCACGTCCTTAACATAACTCTTCGTGTGTGTGTGTGTGTGTGTGTGTGTGTGTGTGTGTGTGTGTGTGTGTGTGTGTGTGTGTGTGTGTGTTTGCTGGTAATAGAAAATAGGGTCACATACATACTAGGTAAATGCTCTATCAGTTAGCTAAATTTCCAAACCTACATAAAATTACTCTTAAGAAGCAAATCAGTGAACTTTAAAAACAAAACAAAGGTCCTTAGATTCAGTCAGAAATTCTACAAGTTTAATAAATATTATATAGTGATCAATCTGTTTTGGGTTCCTGTTTTAGGTTTTTTATAAGCATTATACTAATGGGCTATATAACTAAGAGATGAAAAAGTATTAACAGAGAAATTAAGTTTGGGTTGGTTTTTTTTCTTTTTCTTGTTTTTGTTTTTTGATACAGGGTTTATCTGTGTAGCCTTGGCTATTCTGGAACTCACTCTGTAGATCAGACTGGCCTCAAACTCAGAGATCTGTCTGCTTCTGCCTCCTAAGAGTTGGGATTAAAGGTGTGTCCCACCACCACCCGGTTAAGTATTTTATACTAAGTTTAAGAACATCTATCTCTGATATTATTTTACAAGCTCTTAATCAAATACAGCAAATATATTCAATCTTTTATATAAATGTGTAACATACATTTTAAATGATAAGATTCAGAATATATATTTTATTTATTTTGTTTTTCAAGGCTCAGTTTCTCTGTAACTTTGGAGCCTGTCTTGGAACTCACTTTGTAGACCAGGCTGGTCTCAAACTCACAGAGACTCACTTGCCTCTGCCTCCCAAGTACTGCCTCCCAAGTACTGGGATTAAAGACCTACACCACTACAAATGGCAAGATTCAGAAAATCTTATGAGTTTTAAACTCAAATTTGAACATTCCACAAGGCAAACTCTTAAGATTTAGATATCCCTGTATAAGGAATAAATTGAGGGGGCTTTAGAGTTTCAGCAGTTAAGAACACTGGCTGCTCTTCCAGAGGACCTGGGTTCAATTAACAGCACCCACATGGCAGCTTACAATTGTCCGTAACTCCAGTTCCAGGGGATCTGACACCTTCACAACAATGCATATAAAATAAATAAAAGAAACCTGCAGAATATTTATTAAAATAGAAATTGCAGGACTTTACTAGATCCTAAAGATAATGCAATAATGAAATACTGGTTCAACATATGACTGATCAATAAGACTTTAGCAATTATGAAATGAGTCAATCTGTTAACCCTAAAGTTGAATAAAATTACACTTCTAAGAAATGTCAATTTTTAGATGTCAAAATGAAAAGATATGATTATAATAGTATTATCATACTCTCAGTGCAATAATCACCAAACCAAAATTTACCACAAAACAGATTAAAAACAAATAGGAACCAAGTTTTCAAAACAAATTCAGCAAGTCCACTTCTAGACATAACCAAAAGAAATTAAAGGAAAAATCTAAAAGAAATATTTATGCATTCACATTCATAGCAGTATTATTGGCAATAGCCAAAAGACTGAAGGAACCCAGGTCCATTTGTATGTTTGTATATAAATCTGAGCTATGAGTGCATGAAGGGAGAGATGTAACACATATAAATACAACAGAATAGTTCTCAGTCTCTTGAAAAGGAGGAAAATTTGGACATGTTACACTATGTATCAACACTCAGAATACTATGTGATATAGAATGCACTAGTAACAAAAGGACAAGCACTGAATGACAGGAATATCTAATCTGAAGCTCTAAAGCTTCATGGGGCAAAACTGGAACAGAAGATAACTATTATTGCAGTCTAATACAAAACAGAAAAGTTGCTTAGAACATATTGTTTTGTAATTTTTTAAAAACTCAGTTGCACAGATCTCCAGCATGAACTCTGCACATGACAACATTATGCCACAGTGTCAAAGGTTGGAATATGCTTGAAAGTGCCCCCAGTGTTCCATATATATGCTTGTTTTTCTAGACCTGGTTTCATGTCTAGCACTGGCTGTCCTGGAATTCATTTTGTAGACCAGGCTAGTCTCAAACTCACAAGAGATCTACCCACCCCTTCCCCCCTGAAGGCTGGGATTAAAGGCGTGCACCACCACAACAGGCTCAGAACCCTGTTTTTTAAGATTTATTTATTATGGATACAGTGTTCTGCCAACATGTCAGAAGAGGGCACCAGATTGAATTGCAGATGGTTGTGAGCCACCATGTGGCTACTGGGAATTGAACTCAGGACCTCTGGAAGAGCAGGCAGCACTCTTAACCTCTGAGTCATCTCTCCAGCCCCCCAGAATCCTGTATTTTAAAAATAGATTTATAACTTTATAGAATTACACAGACGAAACACAATCTAGAGATAATACTGGCAAACTAAAGCATCTAGTTCTTTTTGCTTTTTCAAAGTTTTTTAAATTAATATTCTATTTATTGTCTCATACATCTTAATTTACTTTAATATTTAGAAACCAAGATAAACACAGAATAATTATTAAACCACAGTTTAAAAAAACAAAAGGCCTAAGATACAAGTTAGGAGGCTTTTGGTATGCCACTAATGTCTTGTCTATGGCTCTAAGTAATAGCTAAATGGACCTCACCCACTTGTAAAAGGAGATTCATCGACATGACTGTGGGTAGCAGCCAGGAAATTTGAAAAGGATCCGACAGAAGGGGAAACAAAGAGGCTTTATAGAAGGGCAGAAGGATACAAGCTGACTGGAAGGGTAAAAACAGACCAGGAACAGGAAGATAAGACCACAATTAATGTTATGTATGAAAATAACAAAGAAATCTGGGATTTAGTATGGCAATTAAAAAGAGAAAGAAAACAAATGAATGAACTAATGAATGAACAGGAGAAAAAAGAAAAATCTACTGGTATATTTAGGATTGTATGCTTTTACACATAATATATCTATTTTAAGTTTCCTTCCTTTTATCCCTTATTAAAAATAGTATGTCTTTCTAACATGCCAAAAATATGTACATAATTAACTTACCTCAGTAGACTGCTTTCCACTATAAGACATTTTCTTGATGGCCACCACTTCATTAGTACGCACATCTCGAGCCTTACAGAGAAACAAAGAAATAACCATTGTCAAATAGAAACCAATAGATTGAATCTGAGATGCTATGTCTTTACAAACTACTAATTCAAAAAACATCAAATTTACCTAAGTGTCAGAAAAAATAGGGAAGATGTGAGTCAAACAGGAATCTAAAGAGCTAATAACAATTCAGAACTGAAGTTAATAAAACTGTATTAGGGACTTTTGTTAAGTACCTTTTAGCTGCTCTTGTCATATACAAAACTGTAAATCATCTACTCCGTTTTACAATCTATATTGTAAACCTCAAATAATCAATTAAGGAAAAGGCTAAAATGCAATAAAGCTCCTTTAAAAGAACACTTGTGAAAACCATTATTGTATTTATGTATGTGTATATGCATGTTACATTTGTGAACGTGTATGAGCTTTGTGTATCTACAGGTAAGAGGACAACTTTAGGGAATCAGTTATCTTTCTACTATGTGGGTCCAGAAGATTAAATTCAGGTTGTCAGGATTGGCAGTAAGCACCTTCATTCATAAGCCTATCTTGTCAGCCCTTGCAGAACAATTTATTTAAAAATAAAAACATACAAAAAAAAAAAAAAAAAGAACACCTCATTGCCTTGTAAGCATGGGAACCTAAGTTTGATCCCCAGAACCCAGAACCCACCTTAAGGAAAAAACTGGGTATGGTATCATTCATTTTCAATCCTAGTCCTAGAGTCAATTATTTTAGCCTACTTTAGCCTAGGAGATCGTATTTCAAAAAACATGGTAGGGGGGCTAGAGAGATTGTATAGTGGTTAAGAATGCTTGGGGCACCCCCCAAAAAAGTATTTGAGGCTGGAGTTAAGTTCCTAATACCCACATTAAGTGGCACTCCCAATACCCACATTAAATGGTAACTCTGGTTCTAAGGGTCTAATGCACTCACACAAACACGCATACTTTTAGAAAGTATTTTTAAAAAATAAACATGTATTGTTTAATTAAAAACAAAAAAGGGCTGGATAGGTAGCACAGTGGTAAAGAGTGCTGACTGTTCTTGCAGAGGACCCAAGTTCATTTCCTAGTATCCATTAATGGCAGCTAACAACCATGTATAACTCTAGTTCCATGAGATCCATACCTCTTCTGGCCTCCATAGTTACCAGACACATATGTGGTGTATATAAATACATGTAGACAAAACACCCATAAACAGAAAATGAAAATAAATAAAATGAAAACAAAACATAAGACTGCTCTTGAAGTACTCCTCTAGTCTTAACACACACACACACAGAGAGAGAGAGAGAGAGAGAGAGAGAGAGAGAGAGAGAGAGAGAGAGAGAGAGAGAGAGAGAGAGAGAGAGAGAGAAGGGAATGGGGTGTTTGTGAATCTTTTCAGTATATAAAGGATAGAAGAACTGTCTCATAAGATCGCAGTATGACCCTATAACTAAAACTTATTAAAGTTATATACCAATTTAATTTATATTTATAAGCAAAAAGACTCCAAAATTATAGAACATGGGGATGTAGATATGGCTCCGTGGGTAAGTCATTTGCCACCAAGCCTGGTAACCTGTATTCAATCCCTGAGACCTACATCCTGGAAAGAGACAACAGACTCCTGCAAATTGTCCTCCAACCTCCATGGCCCTTCCACAACAAAATAAATAAATGTAAGAAAGTGTTTCTTCACCTACATTTTATATGACATAAAAAGAAGTATTAAAATAAAATTGAAACTCAGGACTTAATACTGAGAAAACATTTCATAATTGATATTTTGTTCTAATTGTTTTGAGACCAAGTTTCTCTAGTGGTTATAATGGACCTTGCTATATAGACCTAGTTGGCCTCAAACTCAAGAGATTCATCTATCTCTGACTCCTGAGGTTGGGATCAAAGGTGTGCACCACCCCATATAAACTTAAATGCTCCAGGTTTAGGAAGGATTACTTCCAAATCTTCTCAATTGTAAAGAAAACCAACACTTACAAAACCAAAATTAGCTGGGGGTGGTGGCGCACGCCTCTAATCCCAGCACTCAGATCTCTGTGAGTTCGAGGCCGGGCTGGACCGACAGCCTCCAAAACAATACAGAGAAACCCTGTCTCATAAAACCAAAAAACAAAACAAAACAAAACAAAACAAAACCAAAATTAGCAAAGGTAAATATTCAGCTAGAAAAATCCTATCTATAAGGTCTGGGGTATATTTTGTTGTTTTTTTATTCTCTGGTCTTTACAGTCTCTAAAAATATGTAAGATAGGCCAGCTGTAAATTCACTAATAAATCCTATGCTGGCCTCATACTTGAAATGTTTCTGCCTCAGTTTCTTGAGTACTGATACTGAGGTGTTTATAACCATGGCTGGCTTTACCTTATGCCATCTTTACCTATCATTCTATGTGCTTTACTCACCATCTCTAAGCAACAATACACTTCCTACGCATGGAGATTTATTTGTCTATCCTGGATTTCGTTTAAAAGGAACCATATGTGGCCTTTTGTGGTTATACTTAATAAAATACTTCAAAATTAATGACTAATGATGTTGAACATCTTTTATAACCTTATTGTCCATCTGTGATTTTCTTTGGAAAATTTTTAATTCAAATATTTATAATATTTATGTTCTAAAGTACCTATCTTTTTACTGAGTTCTAAGAGATCTTTATATATTCTAACAGAAGTCTACTTAAAATACAAAGCCAAGGGCTGTAGGGATGGTTCAGTGGTTAAATGCCAGGCTCACAACCAAAGATATAAAATACAAAGCCACAGTCCTGAGACTGGGGCTGGAAAGATGGGTCAGTGGTTAAAAACATCTGTGCTCCTCCAAAGGTCTTGAGTTTGGTTACAAGTACTCATATTGGGTGTTTCACAACCACCTGTTAACTCTAGCTTTGGAGAATTCACGGCCCTCTTCTGGCCTCTGTAAGTATCCTCTGATTTGTGGCATAAACACATAAAATTTTAGAAACACTAAAAAAAGAAAATTGAGATGGGTCTCATTATGCAGTCCTGACTGGCCTGGGACTTTCTATGTAAATCAGACTGGTCCAGATTCACAGAGATACACATGTCCCTGACTCCTGAGTCAGAAAGTATCTGTCCCATATACAGCTTTAAAAACAAAAATAAGCAACACAGGTAAGGTAACGGTTTGAAGCCATTGTGATCCATACAGTGAGATCCAGGAAAGCCAGGCTACAAAGAAAGACCCTGTCTAAACAACAACAAAACAATGTTCAATGCCAATGGTTATTAGAAAACTGAAAATTAAAATCACTCCACAACAGTGAGGATGGATAATCAAAATAGCAGGCACAAAAGTAAAGAAATTAAAAGTCTTTAAGAGCACTAGCTTCTCTTTCCAGCGGTCTTGAGTTCAATTCCCAGCAACTACATGGTGGCTCACAACCATCTGTAATGAGATTTGATGCCCTCTTGTGGGCTGTAGGCAAGCGTGCAGGCACAATATTGTGTATATATAATAAATAAATAATTGGGAGGGCGGGGCACGCTGGAGATATGGCTCATCGGTTAAGGTTATTCATCAAAAATTTAAAGATAGAATTCATAGGTATTTGCAATTCTACTCCTAAAGTAGATACTCATAACTGAAAAGTGGACTTGTACTCTAAACACACTATTCCAAAGTATAGCCATTTATAACAACTGGTTAAGTATTTTGTACTAAAATGTCAGCTCTGAACTTTGGTCTTTCTGACCTCTGTCTTCCTCTCCTTCTCACCTAGCTTTCTCCAAAAGTTTGAAACTGTATACTCTTCTTAGTATCTGGCTAGGACATGAATCTTTTTTGTCCAACATTATCGATGATGCATGCTCTACCCACCCATAAATGACTTAGTAGCATCTTGATGATCTGTCATGGTTATCTAAGTCCTTGTGTTCAAACAATCATCAATTACATAATAACAGTACCAAAATATAAGAGTAATGAGATAATGGAATCCTGACATGCCAAAGAATGTTTCCTTCGAGAAAAAAATATGAAATGAAACAGGCACTTGAGAGAGACAAGCAGGCAGATCTCCTCCAGCTTGCATGGGCACCTGCATGCATATGATACATATGAACTCACAAAAATGGGAGCATGTGTACACGTGAGTGCACGCACACATACTTTAAAAACAACAAATAAATCGGTAAAAATATTCTCAACTGGACTAAGGGGAAAAAAACTATGTTACCCAGGCATTGTAGCACATGCCTTTAATCTCAGCACTCAGGAGGAAGAGGCAAGCAGATCTCTGTGAGTTTGAAGCCAGCCTGGACCATATAGTGAATTCTAGAACAGCCAGGGTTATATAAAGAGACCTTGTCTCAAATATAATAACAATAGCTATGTTGATGCTGTTAAAACTCTACAGTAAGGCGCATGCCTTTAATCCCAGCACTCAGAAGGCAGAAGCAGGTGGATCTCTGTGAGTTCGAGGCCAGCCTGGTCTATAGAGCGAGTTCCAGGACAGCCTCCAAAAAAACATAGAGAAACCCTGTCTCAAAAAACAAAAACCAAAACAAATAAACAAAAACCCACTCTACAGTAAGAACAAAATTTCTATTGATAAAATTATAAAAGGAGGCTGGAGAGATGCCTAAGCAGCTAAGAGAACTGGTTGTACTTCCACAGGACACAGGTTAAATTCCCAGCACCCAAATGGCAGCTCACAACTGTTTGTGCCTCCAGTTCCAGGGGATCTGACACCCTCACTCAGACACATATGCAGGCAAAGCACCAATACACATTAAAAATAATATATAAAGAATGTGTGTTAGTTTTGCTGTTATGCCTCAAAATGCAAAATTTGTGGCCAGAGAATATAAAAAGTATTAGCTAATAAGACATTGAATTATAAAGTTCAGTATTATCTTCAGTTTCAGGTATGGAGATGGGGAATTCTAGAATGCATACTCTGAGGGGAGATGAAAGTGGTATAGGGAAGCTTTAAATTTTGTCTTTTGCTGAGAAGGTTCAATAATTTTAGTCTATAAGATGAACTGGTAATAGAGAAATATCATTGTGTCCTACAGAATGATGGTCCTGAAGCTTCTGAGGATGATGACAGCAAGCAGGCTATGGGAGGCTAAGGAGCCTACATTAAGGCAAGCAAGACTATCCTCTTAAGCTGACAAGTTTTCCAAGGACAGTCATTCCTATCTAGAGAATAGCTAACACAAATCTTGCCAGAAGATATATTTAGGGTGGTATATTTTTATCTCCCTAAATTATTATCTTGGTAAAATATTTGGAATTTTGTCCTTGGTTGCAAGCAACTTCCAGAAAAGCTACACTGGTGAATAATAAAGAGCCTTTTTTATTTACCTCAAACATCTTTCAGCCACACCTGAGTGTTTTGAGGAAAGAACCTGAACAAGCACATGATTGCAGGAAAGGATAGTTCTCTGGGAAACCAATCCTGAACCAGAGAATTGGAACTGGAATTACACACCCAACTCTTACCTTGGGAGAAGGGAGAGCAGCAGAAGGTGAAGTTAATCACCAACAGCCAGTAACTTACTAATCACTGTATGTAACAAATAACAATTCCAAAGGACTGGGGACTGTGAGGAAGATGAGAACAAACATCCAATAGTCAAAAAACTGATATACCTTAATTCCACATGGACAAAAGATCCTCTACCAAACAGGATTCTAGGGCTCAGTCTATGTATCATTTAAAATAAAATCATAGCCGGGCGGTGGTGGTGTACACCTTTAATCCCAGCAATCGGGAGGCAGAGGCAGGCGTATCTCTGTGAGTTCGAGGCTGGGCTGGACCAACAACCTCCAAAACAATACAGAGAAACCCTGTCTTGTAAAAAACCAAAAAAATAAAATAAAATAAAATCATAAATAAATTTCACTTAATATTTAATTGCACTCAAGAAAAGGAATGGAGGATCCCAATTCTATATAGTTAATGGAAGTACAAGCTAGAGCTTTAAACTGGCATCTCAAAATGGGAGGCTCTCTTATGGAACTGGGCCAAGGTGACATTATCTCTACGTAGTTTTGAAATGGAATTAGAGGACAACCAAATGATGTGAGCTGCAAAAAGTCATTGCTTGCATAATGCATGTAGACATATGTGGTATAAAAAGCAGTCTGTGAAGCAGAGTTTGTTTTCCTACTCCGTAAATTCCTTATCTCTTTACATTTTTCACTCAGACATTACTGACATCAAACCTTTAACTCACAAAATAAACTGCTCCAAAGCTCCCATGGCCAATTTCTCTGAGATCTGTGAAGAGCTTTTCTGGATCTTCTTTGAAGAAGAGCTCTGCAATTTCAGGGTCCTTTAGACTGCCTGCTCTGTTAGTTGATGGCATCCTGCTGAGCAGTCAGCTGTCTGATTCTAATTTTATACTGCTATCCCAATGCTTGGTTCATCTGTATGAATGAAGCCACGCTGGCATAAACTAGGAAAAGAAAAAAGAAAAGGTTAAAAGTTACTAAGAATAATTAAAAGATCATTTGCAGTCATTATCTACAAGATTCTATCAGATCTAGAATGTTAGGGCACAGTATAGTCTATTATTGCATTAGTTCCTAAGCTCATCACACAATCACCTGTGGTACTTTAAAAGCAAAGACAGTCCATTTCAATGTTAGGTGTATCTTTAAATAATGGGAGGCTTTTTGCTACTTAAATTATCCAATTTTGACATAGCTAGAAGAGACAATTAACAGACTATTGCAAACAAACATAATAACCCACGAAATGTATTAGTACATGCCTTTAATCCCAGCACTTGGGGAACAGTAGCAGGAAGATCTCTGTGAGTTCCAGGCCAGCCATGGCTATCTACTGAGACATAGTCTTAATAAACAAAACAGGTGCTGGAGAGACAGCTCATTAGTTAAGTATATTTACTGTTCTTCCAGAGGATCTGCACTGATTACTAGCACCACAATTGGGCAACTTACAACTGCCTTGATTGCATCTTTGGGGACCTGATCTCCTCTTTTGGTTTGCACACACATGCACAAACACACACAATTTTAAAAAGTAACAAAATAAAATTTAACATCCCCATTTTAAAAAGTAACAAAATAGGGCTGGGCAATGGTGGTGCACACCTTTAGTCCCAGCACTCAGAAGGCAGAGGCAAGCAGATCTCTATGAGTTCAAGGCCAGCCTGATCTACAAAGCTACACAGAAAAACCCAATTGAGGGGGTGGGGAGGGGCACCTCTGACTGGCACGTTTTAACACAGCAAGTACATGCTCACACTCATTCATTTATCTAACTCTGTCTCTTTCACCTCCACAGACAATTAAAACTAAAGAGAAAAATGCAGAATAAGGTCTGAATTTGGACTGGAGATGGCTCAGAGGATAAGAGCACTCCCTGTGCTTTTAGAGGTCCTGAGTTCAATTCCCAGCAACCACATGATGGCTCACAGCCATCTGTAATGAGATCTGGTTCCCTCTCTGACCTTCAGGTATACATGTAGGCAGAACACTATATACATAATAAATAAATCTTTTAAAACAATTTTAAAAAAGAAGGTCTGAATTTAACACAGACAACTGGTTTTTAATAAACTTAATTCATCTGATCAACACATTAAAGTATAGCTGTTATCATCTGATTCCTTCCACAGGTAAGCTTAGAAAGAACCAGTAGATTCCTGGTTCTACCAATTCCTTTATATGAGATTATATAATGCTTCCAAATGGTTGTCATAATTGAGAGGTTTAAGGACTGGGTTCTGGAATAAAACTAGCTAGATATAAATCCTAATACTATTCCTCAACTGTAAATACATAAACTATCTCTGTTTTTTAAAGTATAAAATAAAAACAACCTACTTTATACAGTAATTATGAGGGTTAAATGAGTTACCATGTGTAAGATCAGACTACTACTATACCATTGTAAGCACTATAACAAATGCCAGGGATTTTTTTTTATTCACTTAATTTCAAGAATTAAAATTGGAATGTATTTCATTAGACTTCGAAGTGGGGAAACTGCTATTCAATTCTTCCTATGCCCTCTATGACTTCTAAGCCGATTTCACTTTAGTGAAATAAAACCAATTAGTAAGTTTAATTTCTAAATTATATGTGTATGTACACTTTGCCTGATGTATGCATATGACCATATGCATTCCTACTGCCCATAAAGGTCAGAAGAGGGCACCTGATCCCCTAGAACTGGAGTTATGGAAGATTTTGAGACACCATATTGGGAATCAAACCTACATCCTCTAGAAAGGTAGTAAGTACTCTAAAACATTGAGCCATTTCTCCAGCCCCAAAAGAACCAACTTTAAATCTTATCAGAAAATACATGTCTTTTGTATCTCACTGCAGCAACATCACACTGTAATAAAAAGGTGAGTGTGTGTGTGTGTGTGTGTGTGTTTATGTATGAAGAGAGTGTGTTAATTTGAGCCTGTTAATTTGGTGCCTCAAACCCATGGCTGTCCTCTTGACTCAGTCTTCGGAGTAGCAGTACAGTTACAGGCAAGTACCATTATACCCAATTCTAGTTGAATATAGTTCTAGTTCCAAAGCCAGTTGTAATGCACATGAGTGCACATGCCTACACTTCCAGCATTCAAAAGGACGAGGACAGGAAGTAAGAAGTTTAAGTTCATCCTCAGTTATACAGTAAGCTTGAGGTCACCACCATCAAACCACACATACAATCTTTTGTTGTTTTTTTTTTTAATTGAGACTGAGTCTTACTATATACCTGTCTCCCAAATGCTGGGATTACAATCTTCTAAAAAGACTAGGAAAAGTGGAGAGATGGTTCAGTGATACTACTCTAGCAGAGGACCTTAGTTTAGTTCCAACATTCACATCAGATAGCTCACAAATGGCTGTAACTCCAGTTCCAGACACCCTCTTCGGGCCTCCATGGGCTCCTGCACACATGTGGTACACATATACTCATGTATGCTCACAATATACATACATATAAATAAGTATTTCAAAACTATATAACTTACTTTAAAAATCTCAATGAGTTTTTACACTAACTTCCACACTTACATTAACACAGGCAATTAACCAGATAAGCCAAAAGCAACAGAATTAGAAGATAATCAGAACACATCAGTAACACTTACAGAACGTTGAGTCAACGTTTTATGAATCTCCAATTTTTCATAAAAGGGACATTACTGGCCTGGCCCTAAGCAACTGATTCAATATTATAAGACCTGTAAGACAAGATTCAGGCCCGGAAACAGCCAACCGAAGTAAAATGTTTGATCTCTCCAGAGAAAGAAAAATGGTCTCTTTTATATACAAAATTGGCAGGTAGTGCTACCTACTGTGTCTTTTCCTCAACATATGGATATACAAAAAAGGCGTGCACATTAATAATTGCAGCATTAAATACAACCAAGAAAGGTCATCAACAGGATGAACAAATATATGACTTACACTTAACCAATAAATAATATATTTGACAGCTTTATAAACATGATTATTATAAAACTTAAGGTTGGAATTAAGAGATCATCTGGCCCTAAAATGTCAAATATCTTTTCTCAGAAATCGCAGGATCAATTAATATTGAGAAATATGCTATTAATACTCCGAACCATCTGCCTAATATTTCAAATAGAAACGAAGGACAAAGATGAAAAGCAAAGATACTACTATTCAAAGTGATGTTGCTTGCCTGAAATACCAGCATTTGAGCTGAAGAGTTAACTTACAACAAAAGCCCATTAAACATACACAATCACTAAGTTCTTGGCAACAAGGGAAAAAACAGGGGCAGGTATCATAAAAACTTTTAATTGAGCCAGGCGTTGGTGGCGCACGCCTTTAATCCCAGCACTCGGGAGGCAGAGGCAGGTGGATCTTTGTGAGTTCGAGACCAGCCTGGACTACCAAGCGAGTTCCAGGACAACCTCCAAAGCCACAGAGAAACCCTGTCTCGAAAAACCAAAATAAATAAATAAATAAAACTTTTAATTGGTGAACTGATAAAGATACAAATACTATCTTTTGCTGGGCATGCCTTTCTTTGCCTTTAATCCCAGCACTCGGAAGGCAGGTGGATCTCTGTGAGTTCGAGGCCAGCCTGGTCTACAAAGTGAGTTCCAGGACAGGCTCAAAAACTATGTAGAGAAAACCTGTCTCCAAAAACGAAACAAACAAACAAAAAAAACTAACTTTTAAAAACAAGGTACAAAAGTATAATACATAATCATTTATATAAAAATGGGAAATTTATTGCCATGCATAGATGATCTATGAAAGAAAACAAAAACAATCCTTTCTACCTTCCAAATATGTATCCTACAAATGCTTATACTTCTTCCATTTTTTAACTTTTATTTATGGGCTGGAGAGATGGTTCAGAGGTTAAGAGCACTGACCGCTCTTCCAGAGGTCTTGAGTTCAATTCCCAGCAACCACATGGTGGCTGACAACCATCTACAATTCAATCTGGTGTATATGTAATAAATAAATAAATCTTAAAAAAACTTTTATTTATTATTAATGTATGTGAGATGTGTGTAAGAGTACAGGCAGGCAGCCACGTGCTGCAGACAGTATGGAAGTTAGACGACAACTTCAGGGATCAATTTTCTCCTTCGATCATGAGCACCAAGGAACAAAGTTGTCAGGGTTTGCAGCAAATACATTTAGCCACTGCTCCCCCCCCCCACACCTACACAGAAGTGTTTTTGCTTTTAATAAACACTTAAAATCCATATAATAAAGACTTACAAAGTTGAGACTGGCAAATGGCTCCACAAGTAAAAACACTAGCTGCCAAATCTGACAACCTGAGTTCAATCCATAGGACCCACTTGGTGGAAGGAGAGAACCAATTCCCAGAAATTGTCCTCAGTGTGCCACAACATGTGTGGCTACATCTCACCTTTCAAATAAGTACATATTTTAAAAAGACTCAAAACTAGAGTGTTAGCATTATTTAGAAATTAATTCAAAATGCCAGTAGGGGAGGAGAGCAGTGAGATGGCTCAGCATATAAAACCACTAGCTGGACAAGACTGACATTGAGTTCAATCCCCAGAACCCAGATAAAAGTACAAGAAACAGGGTGGTAGTAGTGCCCTCCTTTAATGCCAGACTCAGGAGGTAGAGAAGCAGGTGGGTCTCTTTGAGTTCAAGGCCAGCCTGGTCTATAAAGTGAGTTCCAGGCCAGCCAGAGCTATTACACAGAGAAGCCCCATCTCAAAAAAACAAAAACTTAAAATATCAATTTATATCTTTATGTTTATTAGATACATATATAAAATTATCTATCATGTAGTGGCACCTCTAAAGCTAATCCTGGGTAGTTGAGGGAAGAAGATGAAGATTTCCAAGACAGCCTGGGCTCAAAGTTAGACCCTGCTTCAAACAAACAAACAAACAAATCAGTGAGAGGAAAGGAAGAGGGGAGGTGTGTTGGGAAAGAGAAAAGGGGAGAGGG